TTAGAAGCGTCTCAAAAATGCAAAAAAGGCCCAGGTTTTGCATAAAAATCTCCCAGCAAGCAGCCGTAACCACTTCTCTGCCTCCAGTGCATTATCTGTTCCAGTCTCCCAAGAAACACAGCACTCACAGTGAAAGACAGTAAGAGAAGAATACCTTTTTCATTTAAACTATAGGGGAGTTTTACCTAGATAGACTGCAATTTCCTGAGCTGGAACCTGGCAAAGCGCCCGGGGCTACGACCACCCCCCTCCTTTGCTTGCAAAAATTACTGTGGAGTCTTCAACAGCCAGAAATAGTTTTCACAGTTTTGTTTTTACGTTTCTTCTGAAAGATGCTGAGGCAAGCTCAGCTGTAAGCAAACCCGGGCGCTGCACAACTTCCAAGAACTAAACTGATGCGCGATGTTCTAAGCACACTATCCCCAAATACCCTACTGAGGAATGGTTCAGCACTGAGTCAGAAGGAAGCGGGCTGAATCACAAATAGCGATTCCTGCAAGCTGCCTTCCCCCCGCCCCCAAGTCCATGATCTAAGCAGTGACCAGGTTGTGGTTAGCTTGGGAAATCTGATGAGATCACAGTCTGGGGAGATACAGCTTCAGACACTTGAGTTTTTGTTAGCCAGCTCCTTGTTTTGCATGGAGACACGGACGGCAGTTGCTCTACCAGGTTCCCCATATGTTTGTAATACTGTTGTTATGGGAATACATGTACAGTCCATGTCACTGGCAAGTTGCGCTGCTTTGTGCTGGAAGGACAGAACAGAACTCATTGTCCAACAGAGCACTGAGCTTAGGCATAGCTCAAGCAAAATTTATCACAGCCTGAGTCACGCTCAGTGCAAAACACGTGCTTCGTTCACACGATGCTGTGGACCCTGCCACGCTGTACACCATCAGGACCCACCTTCTGCAAGACCTCTGGGTTTGAGACCGCTCTTTCTCCAATGGGAGAAGTGAAGGATAAAGTGGGAACAACCTGAGTACTAACACATGAATCCACATCACAGAGCAAAAATACCTGCTTCCCAAGTACCCCCAAAATGGGCAATGAGCTTGCTTACAGGAATATTGTGTGTGTTTATGTCTGCAAGGCTCTTATCAAAACCACTGTGCCTGAGAAGCCTACATACACCCTTAAGGTGCTGGCAGGGAGCATCTATGGGGCTCACATCTCTGGAGGCACCAGCAGCAACTGAGGCTCTGCCACATCAGAGTGGCACTGAAGAACCTGCGAGGACAAACCTTCATGCCTGACAATCCCAAAAAGTGCGAGATGCAAGCAGGAGGAGTGAAATGTGTTTTGTTTACTGTGAACCCCACTGACTCCTGAGCTACTGCTGAAGATCTCAGCCACAAGAGAGGAGCTCACTGGAGCAACATGCAACCAGCTCAAAGGAATACCAATTTACACATTTAGGCTCCTTTTAGCCGTCTGCAGGCAGTGACAGACATGGCTCCTCTCCCTGTCCCCTCAGCCCTGAGATGTTGCCATTTTCTGTCCCCATTTCATGCAGCCAGGCACATCCCATGCTGTAGTTGAAGTTTAATTGCATATGCACTCTGTGGGGAAGAGCAGCATGGGACAAAGCCGTTCATCCACAAAGGAGAAGGGCAGGAGGCTAAGAATCATTCCTGTCCTCCAGTTACCCTCACTGAACGACACATCTAGGATTTTAAAGTGCATCGCTGATCAGATCTGCAGGTTGTCCTAGAAGGAGAAAAGTGACATAAAATATGCACAAGCCTTCCTTCTGTCCTGACAGCAGGTTGAGTTTTCAGATGATGTGGAAACAGCAGCCTGCTCTCCTCCCCCAACATGGTGTCCTCACGCCTTCGCCTCAGTGCTGCCGCCTCACTGCCTTCTCCAGGGCCCTGCTCCCTCCCCAGCATCCCCACTGTGGCTCTGCCCAAGGCTCCTTGCCACAGCCTTTGTGCCTGCTTAGCCCTTGGCCTCTCCTCTCAACACACCAAGCAGGGGCCTATTAGTGGTCTCTGTTGTTTGGCACAAAGCAAGAACAAGAAAGGGCATCAAATTGCCTTCTGGGGGCAGAACTTGCCCACGCTGCCAACCCGGCTGTACTCCAGGCAGGTGATCCCAGAGAGGATGGGAAGAGCGTGTACATGTACAATACGTCCACGTGCACAGCATGCCAGCCTCTCTGCCAGGTGCAGGCATTGCCTTCCTTCTCTCCTCATCTTCAATAAGAGACACAGAGAGAACCCGAGATCAGCTGTCTGCATGTATATGTGCATAAAATTTTTATGGCATTGTTTGTGTGCGTGATGTTTGCGGTGTGTATCTGCTCCATCACAGGACTGCTGTAGTGAACAGAAATGCCAAAGTGTGGTACACCTTGGTTTTCAATCTTGACTGCCCTGTACCTCACATCAGCTCTCGTGCAAAGTTAGATGTAAAATCCTTCTGGTGTCTCACTGATAGAATGAGCTCTGATCCACAGAGAGGAAAACAAGAGAACCGAGCCATGCCTACCAAGAACCATGTTTATAACATGTACCCCTTGCCCCTCCAGAGGGACAGCATGCCACTAATGCAGGTACACCAGCAAAAACTTGCTGCTTCCGAGAACAGGAGTAGAGTACATATGAGAAGCTTGACTTCACCCCTAGGCCTATTTCACTAAAGCTTGGGAAGCATCAGATTTGTCCTTGTTGACAGATTCCAACATAATCAACAGAGATTCACCAATTCACGCTAACAGAAGGTGCCCTACACCACTCACAGACAAGGCAAGCCACACACTCTCTGCCACCAGCCCTCGGGCTTCTTATGAGGAGCTCTCCCTTCCCTTTCTCAGCAGTGAAACACAGACCTCCGCTTCCTTCTGCGCCCCAAAGCCCTGCTGCCCCACATCAGGCTCACCCATGCTCGCCCCTTACTCTGCCCTCACTGAGTTCAAAATTCTCCCTCATTTCCAAGCTGCTCCCAGGTCTCCATCGGCCACCCTTATCCCCCCGCTCCCTACCTGCCAGCACCTCTCCCGCTGGTTTTCCACCGGCACCAAAACCATTAGAGCCGGCGGCACAAGCTCCTCACTGGTCCGCCTGCATGAGGCCAGCATCTCCGTCCCCACCTCACTGCCCAATGAGGCCCATTCCAAGCTTCCAAGCCCAGCCAGAGAGCTCTCCCCTGCCGTGCCCGAAACCCCGGAGCGAGTCTCCCCGCACGCCTCCATCACCGGGCTTCCGCCTGCACAGCGCGGGATGGAGGAGGCATCGCGGAGAGCGCTACACCCAGCCATGCTTTTCTGCTTTGATTCTTTCGCTGCTTATTTATTTATTTTGCACAGGGAGGCAGCGATAGCGAGAGAAGCCAGCTGAGATTTGTGCCTTGCACGTTCTTTTTTTTGTTGTTGTTTTTTGTGGGCTTTTTTTTTTTTTTTTTTTTTTTTTTTTTTTCCTGCAGCAGCAGCAACAGCAGCGAGAGCCTCCATCTTCCCCGCCGGATTGAGCGGGGTCTCAGGACGACGGCATCTCCCTCCCACCTCCGCTCCCCTCGTCTCCCGGCAGCGAGGCACCGCTCCCGGCGCCGGCTGCGGGGCACGGCCGCCCGCCCTCTCCCCCTTCGGCTCCCGCTCAGCTCTGCCTGCGTCGGGACGCGGGGACGACGGATTCGCGCAGCCCGTAGCTTATTTAACCGAAACGACCACAAACCAGCGAAACCCGATGCCAAACTTACAGACCTCCCGAGAGGCGCGGAGAGGCTTTTCGAGGGCAGAACCCCTCCGGGATTCACGGCACCCGGGGCGCGAAACGCAACCGCGCGCGGACCGCCCCCTCCACCCTCCCGGGCCCCGCCGACAAAAGACCCCGCGGGGGCTCCCCGGGCCCGGCCGCCAACAGGTGTGACGCGCCCCGCGTTCCCCCGCCGCCACGGGGGAAACCGAGGCACGGCGCCGCCCGCCCGCCGCAAAACTTTCCGCCCCCCGCCGCGCCGCGCAGCGCCGGGCCGGACTGCGGCACGCACCGCCGACGGCCGCCGCGGCGGAGGCGTCCCGGGGCCGGGCCGGGCGGCGGCCGCAGCTTACCTGCCTCAGGCGGAGGGCGCGCTGCGCGGCATGGCGGCGGGGCGGGCGGCGGGAGGCGGCCGGCGGCCCGGCCTGCGCTCGCAGGGCGCTAGGGCAGCATCAAGGCAACTTAGGGGGAAGGCTGGCGGGGCCTATTGTCTGCGCGGGGCGGCGGGGCGGCGGGGCGGCCTCCCCCCGCGGGCGCCGCGGCGCTTGGTACGGCCCAGGCATTCATGCCAAGCGGCTCTGGCGCACGGCGCTCGCCTCCCGCGGCTGCTGACAAGCCGCAAACGAGGCGCCCCCTCCCGCCGCCTCCCCCGCCCCAGCGGCGGGCGGGACGCGTCGCGGCCTCCCCCGCCTCGCGCGCACCGGCGGCGGCGGCCCCCGGCCCCTGGGGAGCGCTCCGCCTCGGCCTCCCTCCTTCTCGGGGAGCCCGGCCGAGAGCCGCGGTGCCCGTCGAGCTCCGCCACCGAGCTGCTGGGCGGTGGGCGCGACGTGCCCGAGGAGGAGGGAGCCATCTCACGTGGCCGTCGTCCCCGTCCCAGCTTTGGCTCCTCTTGAGGGCCCGTGCCCCAGGAACCGCCAGCCTCCAGCTCTCTGGGGCTTCTGTGGGAACCCAGTGAGGAAATCGGAGTGGCTCCCAGGCCACACAATGCCCCTGAGCTCGGGCTGGGGCTGAGCCCTTCAGTGGCACCCTGACCATCCAGGCCTACGCGCCCTCCGTCCGGCAGAAGATAAACCAAAACGTGGCCGGTGTGAATCACGGAACGGTGTGCCTGATGCACGGGTTCACGAGGGTTCAGTCGGCTCAGAGAGGAGCCACATGACCCACTGTCATAGGTTTCATAACAAAACCACAAAACTCCATCTCAAAAAACACATCCCTGTCCAGGGACAACAAAAGGTTTTTCTGTGAGGCTCAGCGGAAAAGAACTGCGGAGCCCAGAAGTGTTGCACAAGCATCAGCTGGTTTCATTTAATAATTATTATAATCACAATAATCGCCATTTAGATAGCTTTTTTGTCCAACGATAGCAGACACTTCACTAACTTGAGCAAGTATTTTTATCTAAATTTAACGAGGGGTAAAACAAAGTCAGTCAGACAAAGTGACCTACCAAGGTCATCTTGCAAAAATGCAACAGAAAGGAGAATGCATGGTTCTGAATTTAAGAGACCAACAGTGAAGTCACCTCCCAAACACAGAGCTCCAGCAATCTCCCGAAACTCTAAAGTTTTATTGAGTCGTAGAATAATAGAAGTTCTGTACTAGTCCATGTTGCTCTGTGAAGAATTTTAATCAGGTCCAATTTGCAGTTCGGATACTAGGACAGATGCAAATGATGTGTTTCCTGGGAAAGAGAAATGAAGGTCAAGCAAGGAAGAAAGACTGTGACCAAGAATGGCTGTAGATGGAGAGAGGAACGGGCTGGGGGAAGCGCAGCCAGGCTGGAAAACCACTGTGCACAAAGGCTCCATATCTCTGTACACCAAAGCCACTTCACGGTGCCGGAATTCTGCCCTGAGTGGAGCTGAGCACAGTTTGTTTCTGAATGAGGGACCTGGGTCTTGTCAGGGTGCCATAAAGGCTGGGGTCCACTCGAGCCATCCTAAAAAGCTCAGGATTTCTACATCTTTTCATACAGTCTTTTAAGGGAGAACAAACCTCCCCAGGCTGCCAGGTTGAAGCCTGATTATTTTCAGATCCACATTCTGCTAATGGGAAAAAACAACCCAGGGCTAAACTCACCTTGTCTAGGAAGGCTGCACCCAGCAGAAACAGCCTCTCTTGGCCGCTCCCAGTCTCACTTTTTAGGCTGCTTTTGTACCTCAGTGAAGATGACTTCGTCCTCTCTGCCAGCCCCTAGACCTGCTAGAGTCTAACCAGCCCTGGATGAGACCATGTCTTCTTGCAGCTGATGAGAGCTGCCGCTCCTGGCAGGGTGGATTTTCCCTCTTCCTTCATTTCCATAACGTTTCTCTTCTGTTTACTTTCCCATTGCTCTCCTCATGGCCCCAATTCAGGACAGCGTGTAAGCACATGTTTAATCTCATTGATCTCACGGCACTCCACTTACGAAGGAAAACACAGGTCCCTTCGCAGGGTGCTTGTCTCTGAATTTTACATTAAAGAGATGCGAGATAAAATTCAGAAGCGGTCACCTGAGGGTGGACTGGGACGTGGGCATCCCCCTCTCCTCAGGTGAAACGCGGAACAAGCAGGGTGCTGATCCCTGCAGATGCTTCCACCCCAGTGTATGCCTAGGGAAGCCACAACGCCGTTGGCAGGAGAGGTAAGCATGCCCTCTCTCCTCAAACAGGCGCGGCTCAGAAGCTGGAGCACTTCCACGGGAGACACAGACTGGAAACGCCAGGGGCAGAACAGGCAGCACAGGCTGGGGCTTCTGAATCTTCCAGGAGTACTTTAACCTGGCTGGATGCTGCACCTTACCAGGAAGCATCAGCCTAGCGATTCTGTACAGTGCCCATCCTGGAGGCATGCTCTTGGAGGCACAGAAGCATTTTGTTTCTGGATTCGCCTGCTGCTGTGCTAAGCTTTGTCAAGCAGGAGGACAAGTACAGAGCAGAGCTGCTGAAGCCAGGGGTCTCACAGTCAAAGCGGATGGGCCTGAGGGCTCTGGGCATTCCCAGAACTAGGCATCAGCTGAGCAAGGCTTTGCAGCATCATACCTTGCTCACAAGTATCTGAAATTCATCTGAATCCTGCTTCATGAGATCAAGAGCTTTGTTTGACTCATATCTGGGATTAATTTCCCTGTCTGTCAAGTAGGAATTATAATATCCCTTACTGCCACTTCTGTTAATTCAGACTGTATGATGTTTGGTGAGTTTGTTTGCTTGGGGGGGAGAGAGATAAAACATTTTCTGCATGTTCATGTACACTATCTTGTATGATAGGACCCCAACTCTAGTTAAAGTGATGAGATGGCTCCTGTAAAGAGGCAGACAGTGAGATAGTCTAGCTTACATACATACCTGCTTCCTTTTTCCACTGCACTGAAGCATTCATCTCCCACCTCCTCTACAAATGTATCAAGAATGAGTAAAAAAACAATAGTATTGTGCTTGTCTTGTGTCCCAAACAGGAGTACACACACTTGCACCATACAGACCTGTGCATGCCCAGTAGACCAGACACCTCTGCAAGGCACACAGGCAGATCACCCGCACAGCAGGTCTGACAGTGTGGGGATTCGTTAGGCGTTGTGTTTCAGCGCTTGTATGCTACACAGTTCACCTCGCCGGCGTGCGATTGACCTATCCTGAATTTCTGGATGTTCAGCAGCCCAGCTATCTGACAGACCCGATGGGCATGTGGAAACTCTGATATTCCAATTTCACCCCAACAAAGTTCCCAGGTAGAGAAAGATGAGAAGTCCGGGGAAATATGCACACGTGGAAGCTCACCATGCTGAAAAAGACAGATTGATTCACCTGTACCTGTGCAGCAACCGTTCACACCTCTTCTGCTCTCTGCTGCTATGCCTCACCTCGTGCTCGTTCTTCTTAGCTGAGTGCCCAGGTGGCTCAGAAAGATAGGGGTTCTTGAGCAAACGTTCCTCTGAACTGGTGTGGCTCTGCTTGTCCACACGTACACATCCCTCCTCACAGCGCATCAGCTGGTCGTGCATGTTGGCTGTCCCTCTGTCCCTTGTAGCAGAGGTTTTGAAATGTTGTACTTGGTCACATTTTACTGCACTTTGGGGGGTCTTTTACTCAGCCCCATTAGTTTTCTCCTCTGTCAATGCAGCCTAATGCCATTGCCATAGATGCTTCATTCCTGGTCAGACCTCAGATAAAATATTCTTAAGAAAACCTCAGAAATCCCATTATTGCCAATTTTCAAACCATCTGTTCCTTTTCTTAAAGTCCCTGGTGCTGGATTCATGGGTTTATGCAAGAATCTCAGCTTTCACTAAAAAAGGAAAAGTCACTTTTCTAGTTCCCAAAAGCCTCAAACACTGGAATACCAGAGGAGGACTCTGAAATGATCGTGCACTTATTTCAAGCCAGATTTCCGAGATAATGCCCTGATTTGCAGGTCCTGGCTCTCAGTCTTGCTCTCTGGGAATGAGAGCGCACCGTTCAGCTGCTTTTAGAGACCTTTCTGCTGGAAGCAGAGGGGATGCACTGTGAAGTACGGGAAGAGGAGGGAAAGGACAGCTCTGAAGCAGTGCACTATAAAGGTGTTCTTAAGCCTTCATAGCCAGAGGCGGGAGGGGGGGGAGTAGAGGGGGGAGGGATTGTTCCTGTTGCAGTTGCATTGTTTTATGGTGGTGTCATGCAATGAGATGGTGCCGGTTGTGGTTGTAACCAGCAGGCGGAGCTGAGCTGAATAAACAAGAGCGAGCTATTCATAGCCATAAGGAGGGCAGAGCACTCCTCTCCTAGCAACACAACCAGAAGAAGAGCAGTAAGAGCTCTGCCCAACTGGGGAAGAAATGTGCGCGAAATGTGGATGTTCTTCCCCTTCCAAGCAGTTCCTCTTCCATTGCTGTGAGATGCCTAGAGATCTCTCACCTGTCCTGCTTGCTCTACCCAATTGCCCTGTTTGAACTCAGCACTCTACTTATACAGGGTTTAGTAAAGTCCATTCTCTGGGAGTCTGACCAGCAAACACCCTTTTCTGCTTTAAAATGAGAAATACAGGAGAGGCAGAAGGCAGAACACAAACCTGTGCTGCAGACTGTTGCACCCAGGAACTTGGTGGGATGAGGACTCTGTTCTGACCCATCTCAGGACTGATGATGTACCACCATGGTTCCACAAGCAATTGGAAGGCTGCTCTTTCTTCACCCATTTCTGCTATTTCTTCACCCATTTCTCCTTATCCAAAGTCCAGTGATGTCAACATCTGCACACAGTGCCTGCTGTTTTTTTTCTGGAGGGGGGCATCTTAAGGCAGAGCTCTGGAAGTTTTGGGTGCATGCAATAAAGCCCATGGCAGTTAAATGCAGAAGGACATTTTATGAAGGAAGCTAGCACATCTCACTGTTTGAAAGATTAGACATGTAGTAGGAAGGTACTGACAAGTGTTCCAAACACCTGTAATGTCACCAGTAAATCAAGCAAAAGCATTTGTCAGCTCATCATTAGGAGAGTAATGAGGTAAGTACTATAGAATTTAGGCCAGGCAAAGAGGCCTGCATCCATCTGTAGGAGACATCACCACAATGAAAAGTCAGTGCTTAAGAGGAAACTTACGGACTTCCATCAGAGGGAATCCAATCCATAATGAAGTGTCCCTTGCTCTGACCTCTCCTCAGCACAGATATATAGTCACACCTCTGGAAACCTGCAAATCTGCCTTCATCATGCTACCATCACCTAATTACCATAAGCAAACTTCTCAGCTTGTGAGTCCACCAGTCCATAAGCTTCACAGATGACTCAAAATCAGAATACAGGTATTGTGTTCTCCGATACACCGCAATAAGCAGATTTTTGAACGACATTTTAGTTTTCCAACAAGTTTTCAGTGTGTGAATTTATTAAATTGCTGAGAACAAAAAAAGGAGGAGGGTAATCATAGGCACAATTAGTGTCTATCTGGAAGGTTGCATACTAGGCTTCTAGATCTCTTGCAAAACATGCCACCACTTGAACTCCAGCAGTAATTATCTTTTACGGAGTTTGGCAAGAAGAGAGGGCCTCGTTTGCCATTCAGTTACAAACTTTCTGTTCAAGGAGAATGACAAAATCCAGGAATCCCAGGTTTCCCCTCTAACTTTAGGACCTAGAGATTAATATAATAGATGGGGCAAGCAAGTCACATAGATTTGGCACATCCAGCTGAAAGCAGCGCAGCTGATGGGATAAGAGAACTGTATTTTGATCTCAACTAATGGGATATGGCACAGCTTTTTTCTTTGTTTATTTCTGCATTGCAGGAAGGTTGGGCAGGCAGGGGGTAACAGACTGAAGCCTTGCTCAGCAAAGGTTAGGAAGTGCCCTGAAATATAAATGAAACAGCAGCATAAGATGAACAGCAATGTAAGGTGTGCTGCCTCAGAGCAGCTTCCCTTCCCTTAGTCTGTAGGAAATCAAGGCTGGGATTCTTGTTTGGTGTACCTGATTCACCTGAAAAAGCAGAAGCCTCATACAGTTAGGAGTACTTGATAGAAACCATAGGACAAGAGAGAGCAAAGAGAAAAGAACAATTGATTTAATGCCTTCTTCATTTGTATTTAAATAAATAAAGGTGCCAGTATAAGGCTCTAGGCACCTTAACACACAATTAAGACTACTAAAGAGAAACTAAGCTACGCACCACTCCCAAGCAGCATGAAGTGATTATCCAGAACATGCTGTGCCACCTCCCAGAGGAAAAGAAAAGACTGGTTCCAGCCCTTCCAGCTTCTCTCTTCAAGGGTCTCATTCTCAACACTCTCATCTTATGAACTTCTGCTAGCAAGGGGAACGACACATTCCTGAGTGCTACTGCTGCCCACTCATGCACTCTGCCTACCATAGAACAGAGCAGCCAGCAGTACTCTCGGTGACCACCACTGCTGTCATACTGCACAGGAAGGGAATGTATGCATTGCTTTTCTTCCTCTGGTAATTCTTAGCAGAAAAAGTGTTGACTTACCCCAGACACTGTTGATGTTGAAGAATATTGTGGCCTCAGCATAACAAGCTGGAGAATGTCAGTGTCCACCGGCGGAGGGGTTGAGAGGGGGCAGGCAGGAAGGAAAAAGAAAAAAAAAAAAAGAGGACTGAAAAACTCCAAGCGATTTCACTGGCAGTTACTTCACTAGCAAGACTGTTACAGACTCCCAGCTTGTAACATTGTTAGCATTTCCCCCACCACCTTACACAGAATCGTTTCTGTTTTCCATTAAGATCTCTTGCCCAACTTGCAGCTGCACTCTGCCTCTCTTCCCCAGGGCAGGGGCTGGAGTTGACAGGCCTCAGTGGAGACAGCAACCACCTTCCCCAGGGAAGGACCAGCACTTGCAGCAGGTGACCAGCACTGACATCACTGCCTGCACTGCACTCCACCAAAGCAGCTCTGGTAACTCCCAGCTCCAGTAATCTCCAGCCCAACTTGCACAGGAGTCCCTAAGATGGTATGGTGCTAACAGACAAGCTCAGAAGCGTGCCAGCTGGGGAAATGATCAGCGACCAGTTTGCAGAACAGACCATGGGTGAGGCAGAGGAAAAAGTGGAATTAGTGGATATGGAATCGGTTGAATGGTTGTAGCCAGAGGGCTGAGGTCAGTGACTCCATTGAGGTAGAGGCAGGTGATGAGTGGTGTTCCCCAGAGGTCAATCTTGGAACCAGTGCTCTTCAGCATCTTCATGAATGACATAGACAGTGGGATCAAACATACCCTCACTAAGCTTGTAAATAACACCAAGCTGAATGGTGCAGCTGACACAACAGAAGGAAGGGATGTCATCCAGAGAGACCTCGACAAGCTTAAGAAGTGAGCCCCTGTGAACTGAATGAGGTTCAACAAGGCCAAGTGCAAGGTGTTGCACTTGGGTTGGGGCAATCCTGGATATGTACAGACTGGGAGAAGAACTCATTGAGAGCAGCCCTGCTGAGAAGAACTTGGGAGTCCTGGTGGATGAAAAGCTTAACAAAAGCCAATAGTGTGTGCTAGCAACCTGGAAGGCCAACTTGGGCTGCATCAAAAGAGGGCTGGCCAGAAGGGCAAGGGAGGGGATTGTCCCTATCTACTCTGCTCTCAGAAAGCCCCATCTGGAGCACAGCATCCAGGTCTTGGTCCTCTATCAAAGGAAAGATGGGGAGGTGTTGGAGCGGGTTGAAAGGAGACTATGAGGATGCTCAGGGAGCAGCCTTTCAGTATTTGAAGGGAGCCTACAAACAGGTGAGAGACTTTTTACAGGATCTGGCAGCAGTAAGACAATGGGAAATGATTTTAAACTTATGAAAGCTACACCTCACCCAGTTGGCAAGTCAGCCAGTGTCTTGAAGAGCCAATCTGTATGGTCCTGCAGGGTTTGTCATTGCAGTGATGCAAACACCAATGCAGTAGAGAACTTAAATGACGTGAGCCATCTTGGATACAGCTTCCTCAGTTCAGCAGTGTTTCTTATGTACTAATGACCCTTATTCCTTTGTGCACAGCATCCAAAAGTAAGCAAGACTTTCATGGAATCAAGACCTGAGCTATGGAGTCTGCCATGCTTCATAGTGCCTACAAAGGCATAGTGGCTTGGGTCTTCATTGGCATGCCTATCCTTGCACCACCTTCCGTGTCATGCTATCATCAAGATGCCTGCAATATGCAGTGGGAGCAGGAGGAATGATCAACATCAAGAATTTCGTTTCTGATGAGGGAATCCAAAGAACTCACTGTTGAATGACCTCAGGTACACTATGTCACCTGCCCCAGTGCAGGGTACGCCTCAGCACACACAGTGACACAATCCCAGCCTGGCAGTCATCTCTGTGAGTCCATTCCATGAGCGCTTACTGACTCTAAGCCTTCTCCTCGAGTTTCCGTCAACTGCTAGAAAAGCTCCCACTCCATTGTCCCTGGTGGCTAGAACTCACTTTCAGCAATCACAGCCTAGCACTCCTGCAGGAAGACAAGCTTAAATAAAGGAGCTGAATATATCTCCTCCTCAACCAGCAACTATTCTGTTTCCTCTTCTCCTAGGTCTCCAGCCTGACTAACTCTGTCTCCATACACTGGATGTGGACCCAGCAATGCTCAGTTCTGCATGTCAGCTGGGGCTATGTGCAGTCATGACATTAGGTTCGATCCCTAATCCCAAAAAGTACCAGCTGTCACCATGCTGACTCACTGGGACACAACAAAACCAGGCTTTTCTAATTCTTATGTTCTGGCTGCCCCTACCCAAGGGAGTGCTTATAGCCAACCTCAAGCCTCAGAAACACATCCAGCAAGAAACACATTGCTCAGCAAGACCCAGTCCTAACTGACATCCCAACAAGGACAAGCTGCAGGTACTGACCAGCTTGCTTGGCAGCACACACCGGGAAGAAGGAAACAGCAACTTTCGCATGGGTTGGGAAGCTCCTGGCAGCCTCTCCACAGCTCACTCCTTCCATGCTCTGCTAGCCATTGTGACACCAATGCTCAGCAGGGCACTCAGGAAACCCCACCTGCAAATGTAGGAGGGGAAGAATAAGCCTGCACTAGCCAGAGAGGGTGGCATGGACATATTGAGCCTCTGTGGACACAAGCATTGTGGGAAACCTCCCCTATCAAACATCTAGCCTTGAAATAGAATGGGTGACCTTGCTGGGCTCCCAGTATACTCTAAACAATGTCAAAACTGTGCTTCTTGCCTTTGAAGAGCCCGGTCCATTTCCAGTGTATTTTGGTGGGAATCTTTTCACTTGCTTCAAGGAGGACTTGAATGGGGAGAAAAGGAGAGATGTGGCAGTGCTACAGAGGAATCAACGTTCCCTGTGTCAAATCCATTCTTGTGGAGGAGGAGACAAAGGAATAAAAATCCAGAAAGGGACAAACTGATATCTGTGACTATCTGATTCCATAATTCTTTGTTCCTCTGGCATTTGTGTAACAGTAATGATTGGTGCCCCCACCAAGGTCAAGGCCTCCCCATACAAGACACAACAGCATAATGAGAAACAGTTCCTGCCCTAAGCAACTCACGTGAAGAAGAGAGTGAGGAGATTGGGAGCAGGGATGTAACTTGCTCATGTTAACAGGGGCCAAATGAAGAGCTGGGATCCCAGAACAGCTCTCCCCACTTTTCTTCTCCTCTCCCCAGGCCTAGGGTCTTCAGCCATAACACCACTCCGACTCCTCCATCACTCTGTACAGCTGCAAAATGAATTCATAAGGTTTCAGAATTAGTTAATTTCCAGGAGTAGTTCCTTCATTACAAACACCACACAGCAGGCATTTTACATCTACAGCTATAAGAGCAGCCTCAGCCTGCAACCCTTTGTCAAGAGTAAAAATAGAAAACAGTCACAGTAAATGTGAAGAGAGTCAGGAATAAAGCAAGGGCAGAGAAAGATGGGAGCACTAGAAGTTCTACAAGAGAATGAATGCTTCGAAAAATATCTAATTATCCGCAGAGCCTGCATATGCTGCATACTTGTTTTGGCATGGCAATATGATAAGGCGGCAGCTCAGGGCTACACAAAGGCAGTTCTAGCAGTTATTTAGATTGAACACTATTGGCTCATTCCCAAATGAGAAGGAGCCCACCCTACCAAGTCACATCCTTCCATGTCGACTCGAGCTGATGGAAATCCTCGTCACTTCCATTCCCCCAGGGCCCACAGAGTGGCTCCTACCTCAGAATGGAAGAGCAGGTGAAGGAGAGGAAGGCAGCTCTGAACAGGAATGGTGGCAACGGTTGCAAACCTAAAGGGAACGAAAGGGCTAATAGTTCACTGGGGAAGGATCGGAGGTGCTACAGCTTCTGAACCTCAGCCACGGCAGGGCTGGAAGTGAATGTGCGTATGGATGAAGTACTCAGGATAGGAGTATGGCAGCAAAATGAGTGAGAGCAGGCAGAGCGTACAGGCACCGAGTAACAGGTCCCCATTCCTGCACTCTCGAGAAGATGTTAAAACTTCCTTCCCATCACAGTTTTCTTTATAACACTGCCTTAGTTGGAAAATAACTTTGGAAGAATCCATGGACATCTTGCTGAACAGAGATGAGAAACAGCAAACACTGGGGGACAGCAATTGCTTCCCTTGTCACACAGATGACACCAGGAAGATCAACCTACTGCTGTGCTGGAGGATGGCATGGCCAGAGTAGCTTGTGTGCTCTGCCACATGTAAGTGGGTTCTTCTCTAAGGAGATCAAACGCATCATTACAGCCCTGATTAACAAAGCCAATCTTCTGGTTTCATTGGTCAGATGGGGAAATCTCCCAAGTGCTAGTACTGCTAAAATAAGATCTTGTTCACTGGAGATTAAGCAGAGCCTTCTCTTTCCAGGCATGTTTTGTTAGCAAGGGATTAACTAGGAACATTGACATTTAAGTTGTTGTCACTGCGCATTTGAGGCTAAGCACACATTAATTACAGGGCAGCACAGCTCTTGGTCGCAAACACAAAGCTGCTTTTTACAAAGAGGACACAAGGATGCACATGGGCAGCTTGGTGTAATATTAAATGGGGAGGTTGGTGGTCCTGCATTTGGCAGTGGGGTTGGAGATTCGTGATTCTTGAGGTCCTTTCCAACCCTGGCCATTCTGTGATTCTGTGCACATCCCTCCATGTGTGAGGAGCGATGGACACGCAGGGCACTCCAGCAGGAATTTCAGGGGACAGGAGTAGTCCTCTCCTGTAGAGGCAACCTCAGTTAACACCCTGTTTAAGCGAACAGGGTAGTTTACACTGATCACAGCTACTGCAGTTCCAGCTACTCTGCACAGTCAGGCATCAGCTTTTCATATGTAAGCAATGATTAGAGCTTCTTTGATTGCAGAGCCATATCCATCTCCAAGAGAAATTAAAAAGAGGGGGGAAAAAAAAAGGATGATGCCAGTTCAGTGATGAGGTGTGCAGTCCTGGTGCTCAGAGTGACGGGCAGCATTCAGCTGGGTGTTCTTCCACCCTGAAAGGTCCTCCCGTCAGCATCGCGCCTGGGCACCTCAGATGACTGTGAATTAAATCAGCTCAAAACATCAGCACAACCATCCATCAAGTCTCATTCACACTCGACTTCAAATCTCATTACAAGCCAAAAAGGCACAGTTTTGTTATTGTCCCAGCGCTTCCAGCACAAACGCATTCAAACCACCGCAAGAGAAATGGTGCCTCGGCACACTGGCACACAGCTGCAACAGAAAGCGCTTCTCCGGTGCGATTGTTCAGCTCCATTTCATGGAGAGAGTTGCACGGGGGGAGGGCTGCGTGGCAGGGAGAGAAACAGAGAAACACGCCAGGCTACGCAGAGCTGACAGGGAGAGCGGGAGGAGCGGGGAGGCGGGCGGGGAGAGCGGCGGGCAGGCGAGCAGGGAGGGAGACGGGGCAGCCGCAAGAGGGAGAGGGGATGCCGCAGCGACCCTCCAAAGCAATAAGAGGGGGGACTTCAAGAAGCGTGCGTGTGGGAAGGTGGAGCAGGAAAAGGCCGGGGGCGAGCGGCAGCCCGGCAACGCAGCCACCCCGGCCTCCCCCGGCCCGTGCCGCGCCTGCCCCCTGGCGGCGAACTCTGCGTGCGGTGGTGCTGAGCGGCGCCGCCCGCCCCGCCCGCTGCCAGGCCGCGCCGCGCTAATGGCGGCCTGCCCCGAGGGAGCGGGCAGTGAGAGCCCCCGCGCGGGGCCTGTCGCCGGGCTGCCTGGCCGGCTGCTCTTGGCTCCTTCAGAGCAAGGACGGGATCTCTTCCCGCCCAACCTCCGCCGCTGGAAGTTTTTCAAGAGACAGTAGATGAAAATAGCTGCCCAAATACATGGAGATGGGGCGTCCACAGCTTCTGTAGGGAGCCGGTGCCAATGCTTCACGGCCCTCTGAATGTACAGGACATTCCTCACTCGATCTAAATCTCCCTCCTTCAGTTTAAAAACCATTTCCCCTTGTCCTGTCGCTATCTGATGGACGTCAGCTTGCAGCCCAACAGCAGCAGAAAACATGAATCTGCCCTGAACCTCCACTCTCAGCATAGGCAGAACCATAGGTTCATATAGGGCAATCCATAGGTTTGTCCCATGGATAAGGGACACGGGCGCTGCCATGACAAAGGCCACAATGCTTGAACGGCTCTGATTCTTGCAGCAGTGGAGAGGAGCATCTTCACCTACAGGAATAACAACGGGTGGCCAAGCTATTCTGAATCAACCAGCCAGTGGAAACTTTGTGCCTTTTTTTTTTTTTTTTTTTTTTAACCCTGAAAGCAGGAGAAACTGGATGGAGTGGAAGAAAAGCAAGAACATGTTATATTCTGCTATAACTCCTCCTCCTCCCCCCCTTTAGAGCCTTTTATCATACACCAGCGCATTACACATTAACCCTATGATTAGGATGAATAAAGGCAGTCCCCAAAGGATCACCTCTGCATGAGAGACTTCCTCCTCTTCCTCCAGACAACATAAGTAACATGAGAGGCCAGCTGATCCCCAGAGGGCAAGAATCACTCTGGGCTGGGTGCTGGAACACTCGTGCCAAACACCAGGCCTGAAGTTGACTACATGCCAGAGTGGGTACAGAGCGAAGCAGCCACCATGTGTTTACAGAAGGAGGGTGCAAATTGGCCTCCAGGGTGAGCTACTCTGCTATTGTCCCTGTAGCTCTGGGGTGGGGGAAAGACCTCCAAGGGAGGGAGCTACCAGGCAGGCAAGTATCTGCCATCTCCTAGGGGGAGAGGATTCAGAGCTGAACTGTCTGAGCCTATTAGCAGCTGATGGTTCCTGTAGATACATAGTGGCACAGGGGTTTACTGCAAGTAGCCCGCTTCCATCTCTAATACTGCCTTCAGACCTTTGAGCCCAGCCCTGTGAAACACCCTTCCCACTACACTCCACAGTGTCTCTCACTGACAATTCTATTTTCATACCGGGAGACCTGAAGGGTGGTTTGCAGTAAATGGAAAGAGCTGTGTACATTTGCATGGTTGCATAATCATGTTATACATGGATCTTTCGAACGCAGGAGAGCAGAGCGAGAGAGAGGAAATTGGAACGCCACAAGCAGGAGCTAAAAGCCAGATTTCTCCATGAGATCAAGGAGTAGATGTAAAGTCAGTCAGATGGAGAAATGCCTGAATAGCTCTTCCAAACAGCAAGAGTCGCAGGCTTAGCTTGAAACATAAACAAAGCAAGATGTTTCTGGGGGCTGGGCAGGTTTTGTATAAACTCTATTTCCTCTTCCATCATTGAAACCGGATGAGAAGAACAGCCTGTAGTTTGCATCTTTTGCCTCTCCAAGGGCTTACACAGGGCTCATTTTCCAGGACTGTCAGACCAGGACCCTTCACAGACACTATATTCACTGCACACAAAGAAAAATCATTCACAGCCATGTGGCCAAATGAGAAACTGAAGCTGAGAAGCAGTACTATGCATTCTGGAATGATATATATTCTCCTCTTACTAAATCCTCATTTACCAGCATTGGAAGCTTTCCCTTTTAGATTTGTCACAGCCCCCAGCCCAGGTCACCTGAAACATAAGTACTATTAAAAGGAAGGGGCAAATTTTCACAGAAATGAAGCATTTGTGATACAAGAGATGCTGAAAACAAGCAAGTGTAGCACGTCTTTAAGGATGAAAAATTTACTTTGAAAACATGGCCCATCTCTCTCTCAGCTGCTGTAAAATTGCCACCACACCTCCCTTACTGACATCAGAATGCATAGCAGGGTAACAGAAGGGTGAGAATGTTTCCACAAACATTTTGTGGTCCACTTTGTTACCCTCGTACTGCTGCAATTTGTTTTTTAATCTAGGACACTCACATATCCAAACTGTTTGAAATGTTTAAACATCTGAAGAATTTCTCAGCTGCTTCCTCAAGTGTGAAGTCAAACACAGCCTATCCTGCAGAAAAAGGGAGAGTGGGAGGACATGTTTTTTTAAATGTTGTACCTCCTCACCTCCTTTGCACAGTCTGATTACTTGCTCGGAGTAGGTAATAAGTACTGTATTTAAAGGAGATCTATCCTCAGCAGAAAAGGATGAGGGAACAACAGGTGCCCAATCTGAATTAACTATCTTACCCCTAGGTGCAAAGCTGTCATCACAAACCCTGAACCTGTTACACAGAATAAAAGGCTAACAGGAGAGGCACGGGAGTGCATTCCCAAACAACCTGCAGCATATGGCAGCAAGACCCTGCAGGATTACCAGTGGCACAAAGCAAGACTGCAAGGGGCTGGCTTCCTTTTTACACTTGGGCCTTTTTGCAGCATTCTGGAAGTGTGAAGAGGCAACAGGCAAAGTGCAAACTTGGCCCACTGTGCTCACATTAAATTCCTTGACACGGGGCATTTTGCGCGAGTGGGATAGCTGTCAGACATGGCCTCTGAGGACACATTCCTCAGTGTGCTCTGGCTGCTCAGCAAACCTTGGGTGCCTCTTCCAACCCAGGCAGCTCCCAACTACTTACCTCTTACTGTGGTGTCAGATTCTGCCTGCTGCAACTGCACCACAAAGCATAGGCATTCATCCCTAACTCCATGCGCAGTGTAGACACAGTTTAGCTAAATGCATCCTTTTACAACCTCACACTCCCAAGACTGAAATGTGTTAGACTGTCAGTAGCCCCACAAGCAGGACTGAGAAGCAAGCGGAAATGGGTATGTCCACAGCACACGTTGTTATGAAAAGGAGAGATACCTGAGCTACCTGTAAATTACTTCATTCAGGTTCTAGAAGCAGGCCAGGAGGCACATACAGATGCAGTAAGACAGTTGCAAGCCACTTTACATAAAACTTGATGCATTTGACACTAAAAAGGATGGGTCTGAGATTTTAAAGGAATACAATGCAAAACCATTGCTTGAGTTGTGACGGGCCAAGTTGCTTGCAACACAAAGATGAACAGAACCTTAGCACAGAATTTCCTACTAATTTTCTGGTGGAGATGTACAGGGGAGGAACATGACAGCATATTTTCCAGCATGAAAAATTTTACTTTATGGCCCGGACTGTGCCACATACACCTCATAGACTGAAAGAAGGATCAGGTGCTAAGCACGGGTAAGGTCAGAGCACGACTCAGTGAGAGAACTTTTGAGGACAAGCTGCTACAAAGCTAACATCCCAGCAGCTCATACCACGCCTCAGGCAAAGGCTTCACCTGAAGTCACAAGAGGGAAGCAGTGAGGAAGGAAGGTGAATTGGTTTGCTCTGAATTGCACAGAAGTTTCTCTTCCACTTGTGAGTGAACATATCTTCTGTATCACAGACAAAGCACATTTGGAAACCCATAAGGAACAGGCTCTGTCCACTTAAATCATGTTCTACATAAGGAGCTGCTTTTTGCTGCAGTAGATCTCCAGTCAGGAGAGCTTCAATAACAGCAGGACATCCCAGAAGTACCAAGCTGTTTGGAACTGGTGATGTCTAAGGCTTACACTAGGGAGAATGCGTACCAAGGAATCCACCACACCAAACAGCCATATAAATCCTCCCCACTGCAAACCAGCCATCCAGTTATTCGTGGTACATAAGTAGTATGAACACCAACAGGGAGCTACAAAATCAACGTAAGCCTTGACAGACAGCTGGACAGAATTCCATACCAGGATAATAGCGAAACAGAGCTGCATGATGCACCCAGCATAGGAAATGGTTTTCCTTTTTCAAAAATGTTAACTAGCATAGATGGAACAGAGGCAGACAAATAGCAAACATCTTCAAGACAAAGTGCCAAGGGAATAACTCTTGGGGTAACTGGATCCACTCTAAAATGAACGCTTTCAGTCATCTTTGCAGTGATGGCAAAGAGGAAAAAAAAGCAGAAAGAATAATTGGAAGGACAGGTGGCATGAAAAGCCTAGGGAATTGAATACAATTGTCAAGATTTGATTCCTCATTCATACAATGGCTAATATTTTTTGTTGTTGTTTAATCTATCGGCAAAAAAAAGATGTGAAAACATGAATTTGTAGACACTGGGAACACCCTGTAGAACAAAAAGTCCTGAAATTTTCCAAACTAAGGGCCAGAGCTCCTTTAAAGTGACATTTAATCAAAAGAAAGAAATGGAGCTAGTCAGATTTAATTTCATAAAAGAAGGGATCCTATTGTTCTAACGTTATTTTGTTTCACTGATGTTTTGAGAAATTGGCTCCCTCTGGTTTGGATTTTTAAAGACTGACATGGGGCAGATAGGACAAATGAAGGAAGCCTGTAAGACTATAAATGGAATAGAACTGTTGTTTCCACGCTCAGTTATGTGTGGATCTTACATTCTTACATACCAGAAAAAAAGAAAAGGGGGGTGGGGGTGAAACTGTTGACAAAGAGCTGAGAGTGTGTTAGTAAATCTATGGTAGAATGCATCCAAGAATGCTGTAAACACTCAGAGCTTGGCATTAACTTAAAAAACTGCAATACAACAGCCCTGGAAATATGCAGCTAAGGGCACGTAGAAAAATGTAATGTTTTCTATGGTGTCACTTGTGGCCAAGCGTGTGATTATAGTAAATATCTGAAGCCAAGGATTCTACTACCCTCTCCTGCCAACGACTATCATAATTCCCCAAGGTAGTGGGAATCCACCTCTTTCACTTGCCTCCTATGGAGCCTCTCCTCTTAGGTTTAACCTTGAACCCAAATTGCAAGACCTCCATTCTTAGCATGTAATTTTTTTGTAGTTACTTCTATGCACATCAAGTTTTCTATCAAGCTTACACTTCCATCTTTACCAGAAATTTTCCAAATTTCTTTTCTTATTTCACTAGTTAAATGTGAAAATGCACACTTCATAACAGATGAGCTCCGCCACGTCAAAGATCTCACGCTCACCAACCTGTCTCAATAAATACTCTGATGGGTATTTATTTTACTTAACCTTAAGCCAAAGCAGCTCAGCTTTGTTGTGTAGACGGTCCTTATATTTTCTTGTTTTTGTGAATTTGTATACAGATAAACAGCATTCATGATCTGACATTTCACTTTGATTGCGAGTTGCTGTAATTAAGAACCACAGCTTTATGAATTTTAATCATCAGCTGTAAGTGCTACATTATCTCTAGTTCACAATGAAAGCAATCAAGTGGACAAGATATTTTTAGAGACATTACTGTGGTAATATTACATTAAGTAGCGGTTAGTACACTATTTTCACACCCAGTGATTTCACACATTAATGCAGCTATAGATCAGCGTTAATGACAACGGAAAGTTATTTTTCAAGTAGTATGAGAAGGGTGGTTGAAAGACCTACTGGGATTTACACTTCAGCAGCAGGAGGGGCACCTCAGCAGGGCTGCAGATGAAGACACTCCAGCAGCAGGGGCTGCTTCCACTTCTGCTAGGACAGAGGCAAAAGCCCCAGTTGTCCTGAGTGGATGCGGGTTAACAACAGGGGCAACATTTTCTTCCTACCTCTTGAGGGGAAAAGGAAGACAGGAGAGGAAAGGAAGGCAAAGTACCCTGATGCTGGCACTGAACCCCGGAGCTGGTGAGAAATCACATACCACATCTTGCCCAAGGCTGCCACTTAAGCAACACAATACTTCTCCTTTCTAGGAGGGCACAGTGGAGAACAAATCAGAAACACCCTAAGGCTTGAAGAAAAAAGACAGGCAGTCTGGCACATTTTAAAGTTTCTGTGTGTGCAACTCCACATGGATACAACACTGTCTAGATAAACCCAGAAATACACACAGGGAAAAGGAGGGACTAGGGTACAAGGCACACTGCCTCAAGAGGTGCACATTTAAGACAGCGTTGTCTCACTGAAGGATAGCAGATCATCTGAAGACTGTTTGCTTGAAACTAGGGCTAATGAGAAACTGTTCCAGGAAGGAGAAATTCTTCCTTCTTCCTGGAGTCTCAGATCTGGGATAACAGGAGAAGATCCAGAAACCTCACCCTGACCTGCAGGCCATTCTTTTTTTTTTTTTTAACTACCACAGAGGTCCTATGACCTCTGAGAACAGAGAGAACTGAGTTAGAGAGCTTGGGAGCTAGCTCTGCCAAAGAGTACATCGTGTTGTCCATGTGGCATTGTGGCAGGTAACTTGTCACAGCATCTTGGATTCTGCTGACAAAGCGCTCGTGACAAACCAGTTAAGCTCCACAGACAGTGGCACTTCAGAGACAGAACTTGTTGATACCAGCATCATGGCAGAACACTGCAGCTCCAGTTCAAGTCATCTGGATTCACGTGTCAGCTCCTGATCGTGGGTCATTCGAAGACTTTAGAAGGGAACCCAGACGCAGTAATAAAGTGTTCTTTTGTCACTTTCCCCTCACGCTGCATCTTTATATCCAAACAGGCCAGTCCCCACATTTAGTCAAGAATTACTGGACATTGGTCAAGAAAGATTGGACTACCACAGCTTTGTGACAGAGTAGCAGTACGGAAACACTACTTAGACTTTACATAAAGAAAAAAAGAAAGACCCAGTAAGATGCTTCCTCATTGCTTAGCTTTTGAGACACTACTAGTGTATTTCTTCATGGAGAATAAAATAGTACAAGTGTTTCTTGATATACAGATGTCTTTTAAGTTCTGTTTCCATAAACACTGCAGTGAGGCACAGGCAATTTCCCCACTATAGATATCTAAGTCCACCTTTGCAGCAAGCACTCTTTTCCCTCCTTAAGGCCACATTCCCAGCTTTTCCACCACCCTTCCTGGCAGCAGCTTAGCAGCTCCTCTCCACTGTTTTTCCAAACACATAATTTGAAATTAATGGCTTACCCTGTGCTCAGGCCTGCAGATTGATGCACCTACTTCATCTGTATCCTCTGCCAGCATAGGAAAAAAAAAAAAAGAAAGCAATTGCTTCTTCGTTAGGTCAGAGTAAGAATGATTTACATATCCATCTATTCCCATAATTAAAAAGAGATGAAGGTGATAACAGGAAAACATTAACAGTACAGGCAGGATAAAGTCCATATCTGAGTGAGAGCATTCTTAATTATATACCCAAGCCTATACATAAAGAAAGGGCTAAGCTTACAGCACATGGGGCTTTCTTTCCCGCATCCTTTGGCCTTTCCAGAGTCAACTGTGTGTAACTGCCACCAGTTAGCATAGCAATGTGTTTCTGCTAAGTGAGAGGGAGAGAGGGAACAGGCACCTTTCTCTCATTCCCTTGCACCAAAAGGGATTCTTCCTTTATGCTTCTGTACAAACAGCAAATGCAGTCAGTACCCTGTTTCTGACAGTGCGCATGGATGCTCCTGAAGAACATGCAATAGCGTGCCCAGAGATCACTAAATCATGGGAAGTGAAGAGAACCACTGAAAACTGTGCAGTCCAATTACAGCCAGAGCCTACAAGAGCAGGCTGCTCAGAGCTGTATCCAGCCAGATTTTTTAATCTTTGTAGATGTAGACTCCATCCCCCTTCCAACATTCAACACAGTATAAAAGTGTTTTCTTATGTTAAGAAGGAATTTCCTGCATTTCAGCTTGTGCCCGTTGCCTGTTGCCTTTTCACTGCATACCACAAGTGTTTGGCTTTGTCTTCTTTCTTCTCCCTCATCAAGTATACATACTCATTCATAAGATCCATATGATTGCTTGCTCACATGTTTAGCTTGGCGTCCACTGAAACCTCCAGACCCTTGTCTGCAAAGCTGCTTTCCAGCCTCTTGGTCCCTTGCCTATACTGGTAGCTTGGGGTTACTCATGTCCAAGGACAGAGCTTGGCATTTGCCTTTGTTGAACTTCACAAGAGTCCTGTTGGCCCATTTCTGCAGACCGCTGAGGTTCCTTTCAATGGCAGCACAACCATTTCAAATCTGTTTTCTGCAGAGAGCTCTTCCTGATACCAAAAACTTAAGAGGTTAGCATAAACCCTGATTGTAGATGGCATCATTAATTGAAAATTTCAAGTACTCCTCTTGCTCATTTGAAAGTAGTAGCTACCATCAGTGTGAGATCACTATGTGACTCAAGAGGAAAAAGTAGTAAATCATGAGAGCTGCTTTTTTCTCACCCAAACAAACAAAACCTTCAAGGAACTCCCCCTTCCTATAGTGTCTGTATCTGTTCTAGAAGACTTAAATTGACAGACCTTGACAAGTCAGTAAGGGGAAAATTTCAGACCCAACGTAGTTACTGCTAGCTCTCCGTCAAGCTAGAGAGATGTGTGGAGCTACATTTTTGTAGAGAACACTCTCTGAACTTGTATTATTCAGTATTTCATTAAAGAAAATAATGAAGGAATAGAGGCTGAGCTTATTAAATTTTTAGATGGCACCTTGCTGGGAGGGGCTGCAAATATCCTGGAAAACAGAATTAGTATTCAAAACAGCTTTGATTATCTGTGAAGGTCCGGGGGGGGGGGAAAATAAAAGATATTATTCAAAAAAAGACATGCAAAATACTACAGTTACTTATGAAAAGTCAGCTATTCAAATGTAGATGGGGTAGGACTATCTACACAGGAGCTACGGTGCCAGCTCTGGAATAAAGGAATTTGAGCTTACCATGGAAGCAAGCCCAAAATTGAGGCAGCTTCCTACTAGCCCGAGCAGCCTCTAAGAGGCTCATTTGTTCTTTAAGAGCAGGGCAAATGTTGGTCAAGAACAGCAAGTACCACTACTCTTGGATAGGGGGATGGACTAAAAGGCAACTTTGTGGGTCCTCCAGTCCTGAGTTTTCAGCGATAGTGTACTGGACAAGAAGAGAAGTTTTACTGCCTGTTTTGGACCAATGGGCACCTGAGCCTCACCTCATCATTGCTGACAGACATCTCTGTATCCCTTTGAAGACAGATCTAACTCTGAGATGACAGAAAATAAGACAACCGATGACTATTGCTTCTGGAAGGTTCCTCTGGAATCTCTGATCACTAAAAGCCTCTTCCAAACTTTCCACCTTCTCAAGACCCGTTTCTAACTTGTCTGTTTTATGCCATTTCATTTAATTAGTACTTCCCTCTTCCACCCCCCCACTTCTAACTTCTCTAGTCCCAGTATTTCAGTAATCAACAGTGTCATCAAGCTCAGGATTCATTGCTGAATAAGCCAAGTGCTTCTTAGTCTTGTGGCTACTCTACACAACACAGCTGCTTGCAGCACATGGTTTTGGGGCCTGGATCCCAGACCAAGGAGATTCTGTCTAGTCCTGTTACAAGAAGTTATTTCAGGTTGCTGCAGAGGAATACAAGCCATCTGTTGAACTCTGTGCCAACTGTTTCAAATCTCTTTTGGATGCATACATCTTCCGTTTCTCAGATCATCAATAGCTGCTAATTATTTACCCTTTATTAAATACAGGTTTCCTCTGACAGATCAAATACGCCTATTATTTTTTGCAGCACAGGCAGTACAGTGGATAGTCCAAGGGCTTGTATCACCAGCTACAAATTGGTGATTAATCTACAGCAAAACAAAAACAATGAATGGAGCTTACAGTCTGCAATGGCCTTGAAAGCTTCTGGAATCTCTGGTGCCTGATGACCTTTTAAGATTATTCTTTTCTAATTTCCCCTGGACACATCTCACCTTTTACTTTTCCACAAACAGACACAGTCTGATCAACTTTTTCTACAACTGTCCCCATTCCTGCTGGCAATAGCTCATCCAAAGTGGCCAAGTCCCTGAGCTGCTCTCTAGCCATCTGTTTCTATAAGAACGTCAGAGTAAGACGTCATGCTCTGATTTTACAGCCTGAACACCAGCCATTTAAATAGCACAACGGGACACATAGCTGCAGTGGAAGACTTGATTTCCAAAAGTGAAGTTAGTCTCTGACCACTGTTGAACTCACTGGAACTAGAGCAAGGACTGAGTTAGCCTAAAGAGCTTTCTCATGGCAAGTTTTTCCTCAGGAAGCACACTGCTCTCTCCCCTCAACTATTGTAGCAGCTACTGAAAAATTCAGCTGGTTCATAGACAAAAAGGTGTGCCAGACCTCTAAAAAAACCTACCACAAGCAAGAGGCTTTAGCAAGACAACAGGTTTTTTTAAGCCCTGAAGAAATTCTGATTTGACTTTAATACAACCTGACTTTAATACAACTTTTGGGTGAACCAGAAAGAACACTATAGATGTCAAATTAAGAAGAGCATCAGTGATCTGGGAAGATCCTTCTCCTGTGTGAAGAAATGACCCAGTAATACTTTGAGCACCTTCCTGACCTGTAAGATTCAAAATAAGAGGTTGTACATCTACTGCTATTTAAGACTCATTTCTTATAAAGCTTGAGGAAACAAAACTAACTACCATTAAAAAAACAAGGGTCAGTTAGTGATAATTAAGTAGCACAGGGATCTATTAAAAAAATTTTGGAAATCAATGTTTACACTACGTAGCTACAAATTAACTGCAATGGGCATTGTTAAGAGACCATTTTTATAAGACAAACACCAAATGCATGCACATTAGAAGAGTTCTGCCATGATTAGAAATCACAGTGCAACTCATTTCATCCCATCCCTAAATTAGAAACTTAATGCTTCAGTTTATTAACAGAAGGAAATCCTATTACACTCAATGTTAAGATACAGAAAAGCACTATTTCTATATTGCAGCTCCGAAAAAAAAGAAAAGTGGTTGGAACAGAGCTACTCAGTTACAGTTCAATGCTTCAGTGATTTAATAACTTGAATGAATTAACACGTATGGAGTTAAACATCTAAGAATCCTCCAGTGACAGCGATTTTCGAGAAACAAAGCAGCCAAAGTAATGGTGCTGGTAGTGACAAGTGCTGAGAGCTAAAGCCCTCTGAATGCAGCACCTTGAGCAAGAACCTGCTGTTTGTTGTCCGTTGAACCAACATGCAAGAAGTTCCATATTCCGTGCTGTTAAGGAGTCACTCCAAGCCAAGAACTCTAAAGAGCTTCCTATGAACTGTGATCTGATTTCTAGCTCATCAGTGCTGTTCAGCAGAAACCCCTGCACCACAGCACCTCCTGGGAGAACTTCCAAAAGGCAAAGGTTCCCCAGGCTTCCCCAAGCTTCCTTGGGGAGCCGCATTCAGCCGCGCTTAGCTAATGGCCAGGGTCAAGTACATGCAAGCATTGCACTCCCTAATCAACAGCTTTGTCTCAGGTGCCCTGTGCTGTTGGCTGCATCCTCTGGACAACTTACAGTGTGGTTAGTTAGCAGAAAGCTTGCTTCTGGCAGCCACTCTGATACAGCTACCACCTACAACTATCACCATGTATTTGCAATTTACACCCTCCCACTGCCCTCTGAAATTTGGAAAACATGAATCTATTTTCTCTACAGCAGTGCCTGCAACAACTATCTAGAGTGATCATGAAGCCTTCCCAGTGCATGCCTTTTCTATTGTTTCTTGCTGTTACTATGCACATATACCATTTGTGAAACATTACCGGTCCCTGGCTGCAAAACCACATTAAGTTTTTGTTCAACCTTGTTTACTTATCTCACCAAACCCACACAGATTTTATCAGTCTCTGCTAACACAGGTGTGACAATTGACTGCAACTGAGCAGTGCCAGACATGTAGTAGATGGACACTGCTCCCTTTTTGGTGATATTTTGACATTACTTCCCACTAGTGAGGCAGATGTAGGCACTGGGAACCAGCTGCGAAGAACTTAAGCTTGTACTGAACTGTTCTTACTCACTAGGCTGTTGTTCATGGAGACATACACACACACACACACACGTATATAAAACGTCTAGTAAGAAGATAGTAGAGTATTGCTCCTTATGATGCTACAGTGCTTTCCAGTAATGGCTGCCCAGTGATATGAAAATGGCTCCAGAGGACTCCCATATCAAGCTGATGCAAGCCAAAGTTAACTTCCTTCTGGAGGGCGAGTGCTTTCCACTAGCATACATTCCTCCCTGTAATATCACCTGCTTTTCTGACTGTGACAGTTTGAAACAGCTCATACCACCTTCAGGCTCTAAATAGCTTTCTATATCTTTAAATTATTCTCCTGCAATGGGATTGGTTTTCTTCATGCCTCAAAGAAGTGGTATCTAAATCGTTTTAAACTGAAACAGAGACTGAATAGGCTGTGCAAATCATTTTCTACCAGAACCTTGATTATATCCTGCAGTGTCTCGTCCTCAGCAAACTGCTAGGAAAAAAAAAAAGTCTGCATTTCATTTGAGAACCAACAGGGCTGGGTTTTTTTGTTTTGTTTTCCTCAATTGACATATACATAATCTAGCTTGGGACTTTGTTCCACAGCATTTTTGTCAAAGGCTCTAGAGAGCGTGCCTGCAAATACTAAATCTTTCTGAGGTTCGCATTCAATTTGCAAGTTATACAACTCCAACTAAAGAAAGAGGCATTCTGTTTGCAGCAAGGTGTTTTCCAGATCCCCACTGGCAATGGCAAGAAGTGATTTACGATCAGCTTTAGTTAACGTGGCCTCTCAAACAGGTCTTAAAAAGCCTTTACAGCCATGGCCTAGTGCCAAGGCCTTTTCCACAGGAATTCGGTCAATTTTAGTTCATATCGGTGCCATAGGATGCAACTGCAAAGGCAAGTGGTACAATATTGAATGCATCCCCTCGATGAAGCAAGGGACCCAGCACCTGCTGAATCTACCAGATTTACCATCACAGGTCTGTACATCTTTCTGTTGGTTGTTCAATGCAGGGGTGACTTAATCCCTTGGCTAGCTGAGGGCTGAATTAATGACTCACTTTTCTGGCAGATTCAGGATTTCATCAGGACTGAACTCCAAGATCTCCTGCAGTTGTTTTGCCCAATTCAGTAGCTCCACATGACCTGCAGAATTACAAGAGCATTTTTCAGTCTTAGGTTGAAGTCTCTAGCCTTTACTGGCTCTCATTCTGGCGTGATGTTTCTCATGCAGAGCTCCAACTGCTGTCATTAGCATCCTTTGCATAAAGCAACAGAATATTCAGTAGCAAACATCCCCAAGCCAGGTACTGAATGCAACCAGATTTCCTGATCATACCAGTGAGAGTCCAACACTTCCACAAGGCGCAGTGTTCGAGGACACAGCTTAGAGCCAGAGCAAAAATAAGCTTCATGAGTAGCTCCCTAAAAGTCATGTTCCTTACTGAGGGAAAGCCTGGGCCCAGACCCACAAGTCTCAGTAATGTCAACCACAAGTGTTGAACCTCAGCCACCCGTAGAGCTTCCTTCCTCCCTCTGCTGAGACTAACACTCTTGAACTTGACTAGACCCACTGATGACCAAAAGTATAATTTACAGCAACAGTCATAATAGCTACCTCACACTTATTGAAAACTTCATATCTGGGTATTTCCCCTTTTACTAGAACCCTTTTTTCTTTTTTTAATCTGCATATAAATTTTCTCTAGTTCCTCTAGTGTAGGTAGGATCAGCCTTCACTCGCAGTACTGTCCTAGTCTTTATCCTGTGTAGAGTGCTAGCACTAAAGAAAAAACTCTCTGTTCCACAGCTGCATGCTAACTGCTTGCAAGGCAGCATAAACTGGTATATAAGACAGACAATTCCAGTCAGCTACTGAATGAATCTTGTAAAGGTACTAGGCCCATGTGCTGAGGCACAATGATCCTCTTACAGCACACCGTCTTGATAACGTGGGAGAAGAAGAAGGAAGAAAAAAAACCTCCAACTTTCAAGAGGAGGCAGTGATGGAATCTGGCTCAACTAATGAGCTTTGGTAGCACTGTGCCACCTCAAAAGCACAGAGACAGCAAGTGCAATACAACCAGTAAGAAAAATTCATCAACATCCAAAGAATTCACAAAACCTAGTACATTCATTTAGCATAAAAGAATGAACTAAGGGAGAAAATCCTCCCTTGCACAAGTAAACAGTAGCAAGTAGAAGAGCCAGATTATAGCTTTGAGAGAAACTCAAGATCTAGAAAGCATTTTCTTTAGATCAGGCTTATAACCAACTTAGAGAACTATTCCTTTCCCAAGCACCCTTCTTTTAACCTATGCTGAATATGTAAAGCAAGGACACCAGACTTACAGCCAAGTGGTTTTCCACTCCAGGCACATGGAACATGATGAAAGTAAATTTGTGGGTGTTTGCACTTGATTTGGCAGAGAAAAACTGAGGGAGGGAATGTGATTGAGGGAAGGTATCAAAGATCAGAGCCAGATGCTCCTTCACAGAGCTCTGGACTTGTAGGAAATTAAGAAGGTAGAGAAGGTGAGGCAAAGGGTGTGTTTGAAGTGAGAGTCAAGGGGTTCTAAGGCCTACAACCATCCAAGGTGCTTGGGGGAAACTACAGCGCATGCCAAAACCGCACCACATTGGCCTGAGGTGCTTTCATTACACAAAGCCTGGGAGAGCAGAGACTGTAAGTGTAGCTTCAAAAGGAGCTTCATCTTGAAGTCTTAACTCTCAGGACCTATTAAACATTTATGTTGACTACCACTCCTACTCTTTGCCTCAGAGAAAGCACCCAAAATAACCTTTGCTACTGAGCAAACTACAACAGTTCTACCAGCTGCGTAACAGACTAGTAGGGAGCTGAGAGATACAGCCAGAAACAGTGTTGGAACAACAACGCTAACGACTCCATTCAGCAAGCTGGAAAAGAAGGAAGAAAATTTGATCTGGAAGCTGAAGGAGATGGAAAGCAATGCTAGGAAAAAAAATGGGCAAGTTAGCTTTTGTAGAAATGTCTAAAACTGAATGAGACCATTGGATGTATACATTTAAGTATCAGTAGTTTTTCTTTAAGCTACCTTTTTGTTCACTTTTTGGGGGAATCTTCGAACTAGCCTCTAACATGGATGTGTGACAGCCACAGCTGTATAAGGGTCAGTGAAAGAAAATGTAAAGAGATTCTACACAGGGAAGGAAGACAGAAGGTCTCTGGCAGGAACTGGAAAGAAGTGATTAATTTCCTGATCTGTTCAAAAATACTTTGCCCACACAACATGAGCTTGGGATGAGGCAGAGTTACTCAGGCTCTTCATCATAGGAAGCTGTTACTACCAGTAGCAGATAATGCATCATTCACTCTTGTAGTTCAGTTGGAGGACAACTCCAGCTGTACATTCAGAAGGTTGTGCTGACCCTAACAACTTCAAATTAGGCGTACAAAAAGCCCTTCAAAGTAATTTATTTCAAGGGTTGCACACATAAACCTCTTGTCTTTGTATACAGAAACCCCTGCCCTCCAGTCACGAAATTCACTGCTGATATTAGCATTTACTTCTAGCCTTCCACAGATTCAATCTGCACATAGCGCCTAAGTTTATCAGCTCTATGATATTCAGAAGAACTATTAGTCTCCACAATTTATCAATCCTTAAGAAACCTTCACGCTCCTCCTCAGCATATGCTTTTCACCATTGGCTTGCTGTTAGGTAACTATTTCTTCAGTCTAACTTACAGATACCCACAACCATTTCAGTCTCATGCAGATGAGGCCTTTATAATAAGTTTAGGTGTTGGCTCATGTGGCTAATCACTCAGCCTTTACACTATAGATACCAGCTTAATTTAAGTGTAATCATACAATGTAATTGTATAATATTCATAATATTGAATGTATAATCATTCAATTATTGAGGCCCTGGAGCGGGTTCAAAGAAGGGCGACAAAGCTGGTGAGAGGTCTGGAGCACAGGGCTTATGAGGAGCTGGGATTGTTCAGTCTGGAGAAGAGGAGGCTCAGGGGAGACCTTATTGCTCTCTATAACTTCCTGAAGGGAGGTTGTGGTGAGCTGGTCGGCCTCTTCTCTCTTATAACTAGTGGTAGAACTAGACAGAATGGCTTCAAGCTGCACCAGGGGAGATTCAGGCTAGACGTTAGAAAATACTACTTTTCTCTCCTCTGAACGCAATCCAACAGTCTCTAAATGTAACGGCTCCTCCCAATGACCGCGAGGCCACAGCACCTTTCCCTCAGATCCAAGAGCAGCAAAAGCAGATCTGTTCTAGGAAAGACATCTTAAAGATCACATCTTTATACACAGACCACACGAAAAGCGGACAGGCCTTTCCACACTCTACCTTGAGAAGAAGCAGCAACCAAATGATCCCACAGGACAGCGTCTGCCTATGCCCAGCCTTTTTAGAGGTGCGGCGGGAACTACAGCTCCCATCAAGCCGCGCCGCAGCACGCAGCCCTCGCTTCCCGCCGCCATGTTTATGGGGCCGGCGGCCGCCGCCATCTTTGCTTAGGGAGTCACCGCCCCCCGGCGGCGGGGAGCGCAGGTAGCGGCATGGGGCGGGCGGCGCTGGCGCTGTGGACGGTGGTGGCCGCCGCTGCCGTATGGCCTTCGGGAGCCGCGGCGGGGGGGCCAGCAGGTGAGCGAGGGAGGAGAGTCGTGGCCTGGTGCGGCCGGGCTGGGGATGCAGCCGCCGGTGCATACGGGTGGTAGGGAGCAGCACGCGCCCTGAAGGCAGGGAAGGGGCCGGCTCTCCACGGTTGCCTTTTATAGGGAGGGGCTGCCAGTCCCAGCGCCCCCTCAACCCGCATCTGGTGGCCCGGCGGTGGGCACCGCTGGGTCCCCGGCCTTCCCTCCACTTCCCTCCACTTCCCTCTGTTGGCGGTGGGCAGCGTGCTCCGGTGAAGGATGTCATCTCCTCGCTGCCAGCGCATCCCCTCGCGCGTACAGAGGTAGCGATGTGAATGCCTCCCATCTGTCAGCTGGGGAAAACTGGAATTTGTTCTTTCTCTCTGCCTTCATCACTTAACTGTAGCAAGAAAGTCATTTCAGAGATCAGGGGAAAGTGCAGCAGTTCCTTGTAGTTACGGGATGCAGCTACCTCAAACACAACAGTTGTGCTTCTCTAATGTGCACTCAGGGAGCCCAGTTTGGTTACACAGCCTGCAGGCAGCAAGGCTGTGCTAAAGGAACCGATGCCACTGCTCAGCAGGCAGTGTCAGTGGGCTGAAGGGTCAGGACTCCACCAGCAGGGGCAGGGGCAGTGTCAGGCACACTCTAGTTCAGCTGTGCGGGCTGAAGTGTGCCCCGGGATCATGGTGCCTTGCTATTGCCCTGCCGCCAGCTGGAGCAGAAGTGCTGCTCAGCTTCTGCTGGTTGTTCAACAAATTAACCCCTTTGCCTTTTCTGTGTATTTTAGATGCCAAGTGGAAAAGAATAACCGATCAAATTAACAGAGCTGTAGAAGTCTATAAGCCATGTGTAAAGGAGAATTGTAGCTGCCACCAAAGGTAAGAGATTGGTTTCCTTTTTACTGGACAGGATTATGGCCATGATCGCAGCACTTAACGCACTGATGGATAGGAGTTAGTTGTAGAATATTTGGGCTCTAATGTAGCACATCTGCAGCCATACGAGGAGTTTGTTAATGGCTTTGTGTGAAACTTCCATAGTTTCAGCACAAGTTATATCCACCCGCAGATTGACCACCATCCTTGTAGTCCTCTGTCACTGAACAACATAAACTGAATCAGCATCTCATACATAATCACACAATAATTCCATACACAGCTGGTGATATTTCTGTATTAGAAATTCACTCTGCAATCTCTCTCTGGTACAATGTTAACAAGTTTTTCTGATGGATTTATAAAATTGAAGGAAATAAGTGCTTGCAAAATATTTTAAAATAGTTTAAGGATCATTACAGATCACATATTCATTTGGCATGATGCTGTGTGGTACTTGTTAGGGAACACTTGTATTCTACAGTGACAGGCATTACTAAAGAATCCAGAAAGATAATACAGTACTTACACTGTATGACGCTAAGAAATTCTGTTCATTTTGATAGCTGATCTGGAGATATGCAAATGTGCAGCAGAGCAGTGAAAGTCAATCCTTTTCCTTAGATAACAGATTTTACTTATGTCAAATTTACACTGTCTGAGTGGCCAAGCATTATAAAACTCTTCAGCTTTTTTCCTGTTCTCCAGCTTGTTACATTTCATCCCTGCTTATATACTTTGTAGGCCTGTAACAATTCTTTATGTAGTTTACATTTTTCTGTCTGATACAGAATAACAGAATCATTGAAGTAGGAGGGGGCCTTTTGAGATCAGGAAGTCCAACCTCCCTGTTCCAGCGGGGCCGCCTGGAGCAAACAGACAGGACAGGTCTAATCAGACCAGAGACCCCACAACCTCTCTGGGCAGTCTTTGCCAGTGTTTGATCACCCTCCTGTTTGATTCAAGCCTTTCAGATGGGTCTGTGCAGTGTTGCATTAAACCAAGCCATTGATACAGTCCTACTAAAAAGTAGAGGGGAACTCTCCTTGACTGTTGCAGTCTGAGAGCAATTGTTAGCTGCTCCAAGCAGTTGGATGTGGGGGCCTTTAGACTGTATATAAACTGCATTCTGTGCCTGTATTTTGACATATTGGTTAGGTTTATATTTTCATAGTGCACTCTAGGAGCCCACCAATGACATGCAGATATCACAGAATACACTCTACATAGGCTTGTTCTCCTGGACTAGCTTTCTTTGTATGCAGCATTACCCAGTAATCCTTGTGACTAGACTATTACTTTCTTTTTTTTAATGTAAGTGCATAACATTTAGTGAGGAATTTGGCCTTGGTGTGGCCCATCATTGTTGGAAATCCAGAACACAAGCTTCAGAACTCTAAAATTTAAGTGAACTGAAAGGCTTTCAGCATTTGTCCATAACCTGTCAGGGTCTTTAAGGCCTGTTTGGTTTTTGGAAGAATGACTACAGTGAATCATATCGATTTAGTTTGAAAGTCCAGTGCTTTCTGTTCAGGCAAACAGCACATAGATCATCATAGAGCAAAGCTGGGACTTTGGAGCCTCAGAGTAGTGGCTGTTTCAAGTGACTTAAGTCGAATCCTGTTATGCCATGTGTAGCAGAACTGGAAGCCACACAGAGCTTGTCGTAACTAGAAACCTCTCGCGAATGCTGCAGTAACTTAATGTGCAGCATCTCCCCGATGTACCTAATGATGGCTAAGTGTTTTGTTTCAGTGTCTGGAAACAGGACCTGGCTCCTTTTCGAAGTGGCATTTCCAAAGAGGCAATATCAGACGTGGTGAGCCGGAAGCTCGGGACGCACTACCAAATCATTAAGAACAAGCTGTACCGTGAACATGACTGCATGTTCCCTGCAAGGTAAGAGCCATGCAGAAGATCCTGTCTCCATACCTGGGATGTGAAAATAATTCCAGTACTTCCAACCCTGCCAAGTTGCAAGTCACTGAGCATAATGGTATGTCTTTTCAAAGTCTCGATTCCTTATCAGGACAGGAGCCTAGGAGATTATATCTGAGGACTGAATGTAGGCAAGATGTGTCATTGTTGTACTTCTGTATAAGAGTGCTAGTTGACTGTGGGATCCCAGAGAAAGATGCAGATCAAGTCAGGTTTAACAGGATGTGTTGCTACACATGTGTCTGTACTGTACTGGAGCTTAAAGGCTGCTATGGGCAGTTGCAGCCTGCACTGTGGTATGGCTCAGGCTTTCTGTTTCTACTGCTCCTGAGATGCACAGAGATACCTGCAAGACACTCAAGGATTCTTCCTTCTCCTTATGGTTCTTTGTGAGATGTGTCATTTCTCCACAGATGCAGTGGAGTTGAGCATTTCATTCACGAGATCATCAACCGCCTCCCTGACATGGAAATGGTGATTAATGTGAGAGACTACCCCCAGGTCCCCAAGTGGATGAAACCCATTATCCCAGTCTTCTCCTTCAGTAAGGTATGCACACCTTTAAAAGCTGAGCATTTCTGAAACATGCATGTCCTCTTTTCTCTTGGTAACGTATTTTTGAGGATGGTTCCCCACAGATTTCCTGCATGTCAAAATTGTTCTTTTTTATTCTTTATGCTTCTTTCTGGTTCCAGTTTTCTAGTAGACAGACTTGCAGATTTATTTAATAGAACAGCTTTTCCCCTCATTAGCTCCTCTTTCAGGTCAAAAAAAGTACATCTACCACAGTGGAATGACGTGCAGCTGGACGGGATATGTGCCAACATCACTGTGATTTACTACAATGCCTCTGTTAAAATTGTAGCCATACCTTGTCAGCACTGTTAAGGATTTTTCATTATCAACCAGCTAAGTCGATATGAATATTTCAGTTCTGTTTTTGGACCACAGATAAGTGTTTCATATCTTTTTTTTTTTTCTGTATTAATGCTGTCACCTGTGAACCCCTTTCCTGTGGATTCTTCTTTCCATTTCCAAACATACACACACACAGAGCCAGACAGACTCACAGACATTTGCTTTCTGGTTCCCTCTTCCCACACTGGAAAGCCCTCCTGTATGTTTTCTTGCTTCTCCATTGTTAAATCTGACTGTAGGGTAGTGCCTCATCTTTGCCAACAAAATATCCTTACAACTCTAACTTTAGGAAATCTTGCTGTGTTTTAGTGTATCCCCAGTATGCCCAAATTCTACAGTCCAGATCACTGCCCCATATTTGGCTGAAGCCCAGCAGACCATAAGATGCAAAAAGAAGCAATAAATCATTTCTTCTTGCTTGGTCAGACCCTGTTCTGTTTCTGCTAAATTACCCTAAACCCAGGTCTTCAGCTTAAACAGTCTGAACTCTAATATGATCCATAACCTTTGCCTAGTCCCCAGGCATCCTAAAACTATCTTTAGAATTTCAGTGCAGCATTGCAAGCACTAACATTCAAGTGCTTGTTTGTTGTTGTGTCCTGTCCAGTTCTGAGCATTTTCAGGAACAGGATGTCAGTGGTACCTCTGGGCACATGCTCTGTATCAGAATGAAAAAACATGTTTCCTACTATTAAACTGGAATTTCTTTATTTGTAATAACAATCTGTTTCCAGTTAGTCTATCTCAGTGCACTTCTGAAGAGTCTGCCTCTGTCTTCTCTGGGTGCTACTATTAGGTCGCAAAAGACAGCATTTGGATTCCCCCAAGCCTCCTTTTCCTGTGCATGAACAAACCCAGTCCTCAGTTTCTTTTCATATGTCATGTATGCCAGATTCCTAACTGGAATCTAGACATGGAGGTTCTCTACTATCTCCAGGTGACAGGTGGATAATTTGGATAGAAAGTTTATTATTAGTGCAGAGAAGCAGCCTGTAGTCTGGGTTTGTGGAAGCATTTAGTCTTACTGAAGTGCTCATTTTACTTCTGATTAAATGAGGATTTAAGCCTTAAGATAGGAATGAGGAACTGGAATTCTTACATGACCTGGATGTTTGTTGTGGTGAATTGTCAAGCAGTCGGTGAGAAGGCTGGAATAAATTGAATTGCTGGAAACTTAAATGTCAAATAGTTTACAAGTGCTTGTATCACAGGGAAATAATACCTCTTAGCTTATGATCAGTGGAACTTACTTGTAGCTACACATAGACAGAAGACTTTAGAAAGTTGAACAGAGCTTAGGTGTCATCTTATTTACTGTGATCAGCTATATCATGGATCTCTGTTGTTTTCTAACATAAAAGTTTCATGTTGGCATGCAGCAAGACATAGCCTTTTCAAAATCTTTTTGTTGGAGAGGGTCTTCAAGCTTGTCCAGTGGCCCACTCAGAGCAAATATGCATGTTGAAACACACTGGCTTTTCTGTTGAGTTGTGTTCATACGAACCCCACCTGTGCCACAGTGACCACGAAGTTCTCGTAGGTGCTTATAGAACAGGGAAAGCATTCGGAATTCCCCAAAGGATCATTATTGCTGATGAGCTCAGTCAATAAACTGAAATAAATATTATTCTTATATTACTCTCCTTTTTCTTCAGACAGCTGAATACAATGATATAATGTATCCTGCCTGGACGTTTTGGGAAGGAGGACCGGCTGTTTGGCCAATTTACCCAACAGGTTTGGGGCGCTGGGACCTCATGAGAGAAGACCTCAGAAGGTACGTTTAGGAAATGAAGAGGGGAAGGCTTAATGGAGAACAAAAATCACAGTGAAAGCCACGTAGCTCTGAGCAGCATTAGGGCAACAGTGAAGTCCAAAGCCATAGGTTGTTGGCTGGTGATCTGTCCTGCTGCTTGTCATTAGCTGGATGTGTACAGCCTAACTGCTGTATAAGAATTCTCCATGGAAACCTTGGATGATGTAAATAGAAGTTATAATTAACTGCTCTGTTTCCAGCACTTTCGTAAGGAATGCAGAAGACGAAGTATTCACATTCTTCATGCTATCAGGGCCTGATTGCTATCATTTTCGGTCAGACAAGGTTTGTCAATAAAGCAGGAGTTATTTCTTGCCTGCAGAAATTTTCCTTGATGCATGGAAATAATTTCATTTTTTTCCACCTACATTTTTTTGTTTGTTTGTTTGTTTTTACTGCAGGGATGATCTAGAAGGCTTGTATAAACTCCTGGAATGGTAAAGGAGAGCCTTCTTTAGGTCTGCTTTCACATGAGTATTATGCAGTAGAGAAATGTGGAATCATTCCCAAAAAGCAACAATAATCACTTGGCTGAGAGTAAGACAGCAAGACAGAAGATATTTCTGACTAGGAGTTCTTTCTTCTGGCAAGATCTTTGACTGTTAGCAGAATAAGGGGCTATTTCCTCTGGAGAGTGACAAAGTATGTAACAGCGAATGAGCATAGAAACATACCTAGAAAAAAACCATGCTTGATGCCTATCAGTTAGCATCAGTTAGGCTCAATGTTTCCTTCCTCAAAATCTGAAGATTTTGAGAGAAAGGGACTAGTCCATAGCTGATGCCTAATATAATTTAATACAATCCAATGAAGTTTTTATTTATTCTTGCTTTCTCAGTGAACCCCACTTATGTCACCGGATTACAAGCAGATATAAAGCTTGACCTGTACAGGTCATGTCAGAGATCAGGATGCCCACATGTTGACTGAGGTGCAACAAAAATGTTCAACAGAGGGTTCCCCAGGGAGAGGCAGGTTATTGCTTTGGCAAAAATAAAGCACGTGAATAGTTATTTTGAAAAACACAGCTTGTTTCCCCAAGTGAGTTTCACTTTAAATGTATAAGCCCTGGAGTTTTAAATCCAAAATATTAGGCTTTTTTTTTTTAATGGGAAATGACAATGGCCAGAAATAATTCATTTTGCACTATCTGTAGTCGATAAAGGACAGAAAAATAAAGCAAGAATTTAAAATTGGATTAAAATTTTAGGGTAATTTTAATATCCTTAAAAGCGTAGGTTTAACAAGGCTGTTTGTGTATAATTTATTTTTTTCACCAGAAGATGCTCTGAAAAGTAGCCTACATCAAATTATCTTGACCACTGTATTCACTGAAGAAGCTTTTACTGGACCTAGCAGAGAGGTTTTTCTGCTGTTATGAAGAAAATGATTTCCATAAAAAACAAAGAGTTAATAAAATGAGATCATGCTGTGAAAACTGATGAGAGCATTGTTTCATTGATTGAGCAAATAATTTATTGCCATGTACAAATAATATTTCAGATCTGCAGAAAAATGGCCGTGGAAGAAAAAAATCTCTAAAGGATATTTCCGAGGGTCCAGGTGAGCTCATCACGCCTCCAGTGTGTGGGCATCCACAACTTTACTGGGCAACCTGTTCCAGTGTCTCACCACCATCACAGCAAAGAATTTCTTGCTAATATCTAGTCTAAATCTACCCTCTTGCAGTTTGAAGCCATTTCCCCTCATCCTGTCGCTATACATCCTTATAAAAAGTCCCCCCTCAGCTCTCAAGTTGTCATGGATTTGCTGCTTTTTTTATTAATGAGCAAAAAAGAAAAGGATAATAGCTACAACTATTTATATGTGTATAAATGTATATAACAAGTGATGCACAAGCAGTTGCTCACCACCCATCAACAAATGCCCAGCTAGCCCCGCCAGTGAGTGGAAGAGAGCAAGATGAACTCCCACCTCCTTTAAAACTCCTTCTGCATGATGTCATATGGTATGGAATATTCCTTTGGCCAGTTAGGTCATTTGTCCTTGTTCTATCCTCTCCCAGCTCTTTGCTAAGAAACCAGAATGGCCACAGCTCTGTATAATAACGCTCAGCAACAACTATAAACATTAGTGTGTTATCAGCATCGTTTTTCCCCTCAAACTAAAACACAGCATCATACCAGACACTCCGAGCAATCCCCTCCCAACTGAAACTAAGACTGATGTCTTGACCTTGTTCATCAGCAAGGGCTTAAACTGGTGTGAGAGGGAGCAAGACTGAACATGTTTAGCATCTCCTAGCTCTCTGACTTAGAAAGTAGTTAAGTATTTGGCACTCATCAGTATAAAGCCCAAAGGAAACAACACTTCCACCTCTACTAGTCCTGGGAACTGCTTAAATAATACTATTAACTATTTACTAGAAGTGAAAGAAAGAATTTAGGCCTTGGATCTTTTCTCCTACTAATATCGGACTACCATCAGACAGACATGCACTAGATGGTTGGCACTTAATGATGCTTTCTGGGGGCATACTGAGATCAACCTGAAAAAGAAGCCGTGTCTTGAGTCCCATATTTAGGTAGTTGTGTTGGGTGAAATGCTTTGGCAATAATTGGTGGCATTTCTTGTGCAGGACGAGCTCCGAAAGGGATCCCCTCATTCTGCTGTCCCGAGAAAACCCAGAACTCGTTGATGCAGAGTACACCAAAAACCAGGCTTGGAAATCTGAGAAGGTGTGTGGGTGTTGTCTGTCTTCTGAGTGTGAGGACCAGAAAGGGTAGCCAAAGGCTTTGAGTGATTGAGATGCATCTTGTTGGGGAGTTGTGAGCGATCCTGTAGCAGGAGGGACGCTTGTAAGTCTGCTGATAGCCACAGATCTGGTGGATGAAAGGAAGCAGTCCCTAGAGCCCACCAGGCCAACCTTTTTGTTTTTTTTCCTCCCCCATCTGTGCTTTCTGATCAAGAAAGCCAGCAGAGATAAGAAAATGAATCAATGCCAGTTCTCTCCTCTTCCATTCCTGAAAAATTAGCCAACTTCTTCCCCTTCTAACCTCAAGCTGCCTGCATATTGCTGTCAGTCTTTCTAAACCTTTTTCTGTCATCTCCATCTCTTTGTCTTGCTGCTGATAACATTCTGATAACTGTTGCTAGTAACTTTTTAGTTCCGTACTTTTTGCACAGTCCAGCTCTCTCCAGACTGTCTTGGCTAATCCAGTTATACTTGGCTTCACACAGTCCATTGTCCCAAGCTGTTTTCAGTTCTGTAGCTGCCAACTAAAAATTCATCATTTAATGTGTTTGGTTTGGCATTTGTTTACAGGCAATTTACTGTAACTTTTTTCCTGTTTGAAAGGGCTCGGCTCTTCATAATGCTTCTAAAAGCCCACCGGGGAAAGCTTCCTCAGCAGTATGGATGGGGGGGTTTGTGACTTCAGCTTTATCTGTAATTGAGAAGGAAAATGAACTTGAAATCAATGTAAAAAACTTAGAGATTTTTTTTTTAATGTTTTCTTTAAGGACACCTTGGGGAAACCTCCTGCAAAAGAAATTCCACTGGTTGATCACTGCAAATACAAGTAAGAGCTCTGAAGAGTAAAGTTGTTTAAGGGCTATGGGTTATTTCTTTCTTTACTTGCACGGTGTATTGTCTCTTTTCATTTTAAGAACTAATCCAGCAACCAGCTCCACACAGACAAGGAAGCTTGTGAACAGGCATATAGCAGCTGAAAATTAGGGAGCGTAGCAGGGCCTTTGTCAGTGCCAGCTTTCCTCCGTCACATCAGGAGAAATAAAGTGCTTTTAGGAAAGATCTTAAACTGCTAATAAGCACACGGTTAGAAAATGCATTTATTTTTATGTTTTCTGGTTATTTTTTGAGGGGAGGGGAGCATTTTTTCTTTTTTGTTTTTAAGTCAGTAGGGCTTACTAGATGTTTTTCTTTCTATTTCTGTTCCAACCTATATATTCCACTGTTGTGTGCGTGCATGTATGTGTGTGCTACAGTAATAGCTTTGCTATCTTTTAAAGACATAAGGAACTGAGGAACTGTGCCTTCATTTGCCTACTGGGACAAATGTTGCCATTAGATGTGTACATTAAAAGAGAGAACCTAAAGTGTGATAGAGCAGATATAGGACTGATTCATACTTTCTATGTTGTCTTGGAGAACGTGGTTTTGATTTACAGAGGATTTTATGTTTTAACTACTTTAGGAAGGGGTTTTTGGTATAATACTTATGTGGCTTACTGTGTAAAAATACAGACTTATTTTGTATTTATTTTTATGTCTGATGTTTTGATTTTCCTTTTGCTTTAAAAATCCTTCAGTTGCAACTCTACCATCTAAAGTCTGCTCTTTTAAGAACTCAGTCATTTGGCTGAATGTGTGTTTTTGTGCAAACGTGACTGACTTGTCTCATTTGATTTTTCACTAAACTGTTGCCCAGATTTCTCCCTTCTGTTACACATAGACTTCCCCGAACTCCTGATGGTTTGTAAGCCATCATACAGCATGGGCTAAGACACTCTCACTGTTTTGTCTCAGCCCCAATCATTATCAATAGTCGTTATCAGCAGCAGCACACAGACTCTATGGAGTCTGTTCTGGATGAGTAGCCCCTACAGCAGTCCTGTGCTACGTTACTGACTTCAGTTTGTCAGTGGAAAGACGCAGCTACAAGAAGAGGGGTTGTAGTCAGATTGCCTAACTCAGAAGCCACGCTTCTAGCTGGAGGCAGTGAGAGGCAGGGACTAGTAGGGGCAACAAGAATGTCTCACCTGCTTCCTTCCATGTAGGTGCTATGTGGATCTGTCTGAGAGCAGCCCTCAGTGAATTAGCTGATGTCACTGTAATGTGATGGAAAGTACAGTAATAATTGCAGAGTTGCACAATTCTAGCTAGGCTATAGTAAATGAGAACAAATCCAAATACAGAAACTACAGACACATAAATAAAGAAACTAAAACTGCTTACCTTTAGAAGACCTCCAGTAGGTAGGGATCTCCACTGCCAGCCCTTAAATGAGGTCTGGAAAGAGCTGGATCCTGGCTCCACCCCTTCCAGTCACTCAGCTGCATTGCTTGCACCTGAGTTTCCCTGGTTGGCCCTGCCTTCCCACCAGGTGCTCAATCACTGCTTCAAGACTTGATTTAGCATTTCTGCTATAGTCACAGATGGTGGGAGCTGTGGCTAAAGCTGGACAGTTATTTTCTTACTTCTAGACTACTGTTCTTGTTCTGTATCTAATATCATTGTTCAGTTCCTAGTACAGTGTGCTCCTTATCCCTGCCTTGAGCTCTTAGATAATACAAAGAATGCAAATTAATTTCAGATTAAATTCCTTTCACTTACTGCTGAATCAAGTTTAGCTATATCCCCATCTCACCCAAAAACAGCTATGTTAAAGGACTCCCTTCCCCCAGCCCAAAATGTTTGACTTCAAAGAGTAGTTCCATGTACTGAGGGGTTTTACCCACAGGAAAAACAGCTTTCCATATAATTGGAGAAATGTGGGTTTGAAAAAACAAGGAAGCAAACAAACAAACGTGTCTCTGAGATGCATTTTGCTAAGAGAAATCACCCCCAGTCAAGCCCGTTTTACTAACTTGGCAGAAAATACTGAAAACAAGATTGTTGATTCTTTGTTATCTGCAAAGTCCATCTGTTTTGTGCTAGTCTGTTTAACCTCCTAGGGTTGCATTCCCAAGTTAATGTGAAACAATTAGCTTCAGATTAAAGCAGGATCTCAGAAGATAAAAAAAGAAAAGAAAAAAAAAAAAAGGCTGAATAGATACAGAAAAGCAGAACAATGGACAAAAAAGCTCATTTCAAGACAGTAAAATCGGGGAAAAGCTCCTCATGGGAACAGTCTTTTGTCAGTAGTGTAGAGCCACAGAAATAGCATCCAAGGTGTGATGTTCCATGCCTTCTAGGCAGTGGTTGGTGAAGCCTCATTTGGTTTGCCATAGCCAGGTCTTTCTCCTGGATTTCCTCCCTACATTCTGTTCAGCACCAGAAACTCACCTAGAGCATCTTCAACTTCAGTTTACTTGTGCTATGACCAGTGAGAAAGTGTTATCAGTACTCAGAGTCCGGTTTCTTTGGGTATTTTCTCACAGAATGCCAGGTGTAACCTCTTTTCTTCACCTTCTAAAGGTACCTGTTTAATTTCCGGGGAGTGGCCGCCAGTTTCCGGTTGAAACACCTCTTCCTGTGTGGTTCACTCGTCTTTCACGTTGGAGAAGAGTGGTTGGAGTTCTTCTATCAACAGCTGAAGCCCTGGGTCCACTACATCCCAGTCAAATCAGATCTCTCTGATGTCAGGTGTGTGACCCTAGCTATGCCCAGTGGCACAAGGCATGGCACAAGGCATGGCACAAGGCATGGCACAAGGCAACACTGCTCTGTTTGGGAAGAGGAGCCTCTGCTCCTGTGCACCAAAGACTCTTGGAGGTCGTGTTCTTTTTGCTTTATTATCGAACTCAGAGAACCATTTGCGTGTATTTCTTACAGAATGTGGTTTCACTGGGGTACATAAGGTGTCTCACCCTCACTGAAATCAGCAGGCATTAGGAACTTAAATATCTCTGAAGTGAGCACAGAAATACAGATAAGAGGAAGAAGAACATGTTACTGGGCTGGAAATGTGTTAGCTCCTGGGTTTCAGCATGCTGTCCAGGACTGATACGGAACAAATATGAATGACAAGATTCTTCTGTGATCTCAAATCTTTGCCCAGCTCTAAATCCTTAATCTCATCCTCTGCAATAGTTTAGCTGAGTTGTAGTTCCCCACTAAGCTAGTTGTTTCATAACATTTTTTGTCTGCATTTTAGGGAGCTGTTGCAGTTTGCAAAGGAAAATGACAACATAGCACAGGAAATTGCAGAGAGGTAAGTTGTGTGTCCTTTCTGTTTGTCAGGCATTCTTCTTCCAAAACATTTTCTTATGCAGCTTTTGAAGAGGTTACCTATCAAAGCCAGCCTAGTACTAATAGGGTAAAGTATATTTTCCTTCTGCAATAACAGCGGGAGTTTTAGAGACCTTATAACAAACGGGGGGACCTGGAGATTATGTGTTTAGGTCTTCAGTTCAGATGTGACCCGTGTCAGGAACCCCACTGAAAGCTATCAGATGTTAGGAGCTTTTGTCTCAGTATGAAGTGAGTTGGCCCCTGGGAGCTACATCTGCATTAAAACCATTATATACCCAGGATAGCAGAAGCTGCCTTCTGAAGCAGCATGTAGCACTGCTGCTTAGGCTGCATCTGATATGTAAAAGTTGATATTTATTATCCCAGATAACAAATACCATCTTGAGGATAACAAAAGCAGTGCAAGTGTCAGAGTCATAAGAGTGAGTGAAGATTGGGAAATGAAATAGACGGTACGGAGCAATGCATGTTGTTTCTCATTTGGAAAAAAAACAAAACAGAAGAGTGAAAGTTGATATGCATATGAAACAAAACCAAAAACTTGTAGGAACTGGAAATTGGTTCTGACTGTGCCTTGTGTGTCTCCAGGGGACGCCAGTTCATCACTGAACACTTGCAGATGGAGGATGTCTCTTGCTACTGGGAGCATCTGTTGTCAGAATATTCCCAAATCTTGACTTACAAAGTGAAAAGGAGGAAGAACTACAGTGAGATCACTTCTGAATGGTTGAAAACGGAACTGTAGAGACTTCTCTGCTTTTTCCTTCAGCTCAAACTGATCTCTCTGGAAATCTGAAGATGGGTGTATCTTCTTTCCGGTTCTCTCAGATTTATTATTCTTTACACTAAAACTGCAGAGAGCACCAATAGGCTAACTTTAAAATTATTCCCATGCACTGGGACCCAGGTCTACTGTTGCCATAAGAACAGTAAGTTGAAGGTTAGAGTATGGCTGTGTGCTGGGCTGGTTATGCTCATGCCTGGAAGAGTGTTGTTGCAGAATCATAGAATGGCCTGGGTTGAAAAGGACCACAACGATCATCTAGTTTCAACCCTCCTGCTATGTGCAGGGTCACCAACCACCAGACCAGGCTGCCCAGAGCCACAGTCATTTGGGATTTTGTTACTGCCTGTCTCAGAATGATCCTAAATCCTATTCAGTCAACGAGATGCCTTGCTGTTCATTTTACTGGACCTTTTGCCAAGTCCTCTGTACTCATGGCAAGGTAGTGTTTGCTATGCTCAGCTGGGAGATACATGTCCATTTTTGGCAGTGGTCAGTGTTTTCTCATCTGTGTGATAGCACTTAGGATATTAGGTATTCACTGACAGGAGCAGGTACTGGGATTTGAGGTAACCTTTTTAGATAGCTTTGAGTTTAGGTTTGTGATGTTTAGGTCAAGTTTTTAAGGTGGATGGCAGACTTTGATGGGCCATTAAAAGGACAAATTATCCTTGCACAGGTAAATTACCTACCTCACAAGGGAATGGCTGGTGATGATAGCACTGCCATAATGCTTGGCCTGAGTAGTGGACAGTCAAGCAGCTGAGATAAAGACTGCCTCCACTGTGGGGCAATGAGCTGGATCCGTGCACAGCCATGCAAAACTGAGGCTGTGTTATCAAGGTCTCAGCAGTCTGCTGGTCAGACATCCTGGGACCCTTAAGAACTTGGAGAAAATATACGCAGAGGTAGATCGAGCTGTTCTTTTATTTTTTTCCTACATATTCAGAGATTCTCTGCTCTGATCCTCTTCTGTAATCTTTCATTTTAAGGCTGGTGACACCTCTGCTCAGTTCAACATTCCCTTTTCTTACACCCAGCTGTTAGGCTCCCTTTCTCTCAGTCTGATTGACGGAATGCCTTCAAGTCACACAAAGGCAGCTACTCCTCACATTGTTCATCTTAAGTTCAGTCATAGGTTGCTTGTGCTAAGCGTTTTTATGCCAACTGCAGGCTGCTCAGCTCATAAGGAATACAATTCCCAAAACGCTCTATCTTTTCTGAGCGGAGAGAGACCTGGGAGGAAGCAGTGTGTTCTCTGGCATCCAGACTGGCTTCGTTTCTCCTACTTACTGTAATGTCAAAGCCTTGCATTAAAACAAGTTTTTGAGTAGCACAGAGCTACGCTGTACTTCCTAACCTGTCTGGTCCCCTGCAGCTGTGAGTCACTTGCTTTGGGATCACTGCTCCTTCTGTGCTGCAGAACGTCTGCCTGAGCAGGGCCAGAGCAGCCGCTGTCCCAGACGTATCCTTTGGGTGTCAGGGGCCGTCCGTCAGCAGAACACAGGTCTTGGCCTTCCTGGCATCTGGGTGCCTAAGCCTGTTGGAGTGCAGAGGAGCAGAGTGCTCCCTCTGGCTGAAACAGCAGGGGTGGCAGCAGCATGGGATTCAGGGGTTGCCTCTGCATTTCTGCTGAGCTCCGTCGCTTACAAAGTGGCCTCAGTCATGTCTTAGGAAGCAGCACCTTAATGGAAGGGAACAGTAACAGCAGCTTGTAGTTTTCTCTGTAGTCATTTTGGATCAGAGAAGAAAACACAGTCAAGAAGCTCCAAGTACACTCGCAACACATACGCACTCAGAGACCTCAGCAGCACTGCCCTTTCCAGGAGCAGGGATGTAACTATCAGTGGTACCAGTGAAGCTGCTAGAGCCATATGCGGCTCTGTGCCACTGTGGGCACAGAAAACAAATTAGGGTGTTAAAATAGCCTGGTTTCAGAGGAAAAGGGTTGAGTACAAGTGGAAAGGGTTTTCTGGTTTTGTATTTTTAGCCAATGAAGCTCAGCAACCTGAGAAATGGAAACAACTCTGTATAGTATTTTTAAACCATTTTTAGTGATGTGCTTTTGGATTAAAACAAACAAAAAATGAACTGTTTCTGGGTGCATTATTTCTCAGAATTGCAAGAAAAGATCTGGATAGTCCCCAGCTGTCTCAATGAGAAGGGGAAGTTTTGTCTTTTTGTGTTGTTTTTTTTTTTCCTCTTTGGCAGTATCTTTAGGGCGTCTCAGTGGAATCTGAGGAGCATGCCCATCCACGTTGCCAAGTCATGCGTGACGGTGACTGAAAACTTTTTCTGAGTGATTGCTTGCATTAACTGCTGACTCCTCTGCTTCCTTTGCCACTTTCCTAGAACAGCCATGAGTAACTGCCCCCACTCCTCCCCAACAGGATGGAGCCTGAATGGCGGGGAGGTCGCTCCTAAAGGTGATGGGACTTCCCTCAGGATTGCGGTTTAGATAAAAAGGATGGGATGTGAAGGATGTTCTGCACAGTGCTTGTAAGCACATGTAAGATGCACTGCCACAGCGCCGGAGACCCACGCAAGAACAGGAATGTGTAACCTTCCAACTGGTTACAACCATAAGAAACAAAAGGGTAAAACCAAAAGCTGGCAGAGGTCTCAGTGGGCTGTGATAGTGGCACTGCTGCTGGGCCACATCTGCTACCGGAAAGCACAAGCGAAGGCCCGGGTGGTGGGTCGTGTTCACTGCACCACAGGATGGTTTGGGTCGGAAGGGACCTCGCAGCCCACCCAGCCCCGACCCCCTGCCACGGGCAGGGCTGCCCCCCAACTCGGGACGCCCAGGGCTCATCCAACCCCGAGCGCCTCCAGCGATGGGGGCGGCCACCAGGCACTGCGCCGTGTGATAGGAAATCGGAAGCCAACAAGAGACCAAAGGCCGAGGGGCGCTTCCCCTCCCTTCCACACACGGGGAAGCTCGGTCACCGGGCTAGGAGCTCCCGAGCCCTCGCACTGCCGGCCCGCTCCGCCGTGGAGCTGGGGGCGCTGCGGTGCTCGCTCAGCGCCGCCGCCGGGAGGGTCATGGCGGAGGGGCTGGGAGCAGGGCGGACCTTCAGCCGCCCCACGCCGCCGCCGCAGACGGGCTGGGAGCGGCTCAGCGAGCTGTGGCGGCGAGAGTGAGGGCCGGGCCGGGGCGGCGGGGCCGGGGCGGCGGGCTGAGGGGGTGCGGGCGTGCGTTCCGGGTGCGGAGCCCGGCGCTGCCGCCCCGCGGAGCCGGGAGCCGAGGCCTGTCCGGGCCGCGCGGCTCCGCGCTGAGGCACGGCGTTTCCTTGCAGCGAGCAGCAGCGGTATCCGGAGGAGACGGTGAACATCATCAAGGCGGCGTTCACCGGGGGCCTGGTCGGCTGGCTGTACGGCGGCCTGCCCGCCTTCCGCCAGGCGCGGAGGGCCTTCATCGAGGGCAGCCAGGGAGAGGTGTTCCAGAACCGCGCCGATGCGGTGGTACGGGGCAGAGGGGCGAACCGCGGGCAGAGCTGCCTTCAGAACCTCGGTGCTGAGCGGGGGTGGTGAAGGGGACGGTTTCACACAGAGGATGGTGACGCACTGGAACAGGTTGCCCAAGGAGGCTGTGGATGCCCCATCCCTGCAGGCATTCAAGGCCAGGCTGGATGTGGCTCTGGGCAGCCTGGTCTGGTGGTTGGTGACCCTGCACATAGCAGGGGGGTTGAAACTAGATGGTCATTGTGGTCCTTTTCAACCCAGGCCATTCTATGATTCTGTGTGCAAGCAGAAGTCCAAATCAGGTGGCATGGTCCCAGTTGCTTTGCCTCTGCAAAACAGTGCTGCAAATGGCAGTGAATTCTTGGGGTGCCTGTTCTGCTGTATACATCAGCTCTCATTCCTCAGGAAGGGATCGGCTTTACCCTTGGGGGTGCCATTCCCAGCACCTCGAGTGGGGTCGGTGCCACTCGGCAGCACCCTGCAGCACAGTGGTGTGGTGCTCAAGGGAGCGGCTGCACGGTCTCTAACCCTTCTCCTCCTCCCCCCAGCAATCTGCACACCGTGCTGGACTCAGGAGCTTCATCCGCTATGGCTGGCGCTGGAGCTGGAGGGTGGCCACCTTCGTGACCATATTCAAGTAAGTGTGCTCTTCGTGGTAGCAGTGAGAGAACAGAGAGTCGTGCTTGGACCCAGGCAGTCTGACCAATGAAGTGGAAACATGAAGAGGATGTCACCTTCTTAAATTAGCCCAGTGCTAAGTCTTCTCCCGAGCCAACGCAAAAATGAAAACCGGAAAAGCTCCACTCACAACAGCTGGTCCATTCTGTTTTGGGCCTAAATTGTGTTCTTCCCACCACTTAACAGCTTATTTCTGTTTTTTCTTATTTTGATGCATTGTGCATTTTTCTCTGAGATGGCATTACAGTGCACTGGCTGTTCTGGAACAGCTTTCTGTCCCATACTGATTTTTCTCCTTTTTGTTACGTCTTATCACCCCCACTTTGTGTACAGTGGCATTACTCACAATTCTCTGTCCTTGTCTTCAAGTTCTTGGAGGTGACTCCTTTGCGTGTCCCTGCACAAGCAGTGCCCACACAGCGTTCCGCTTCTTCAGTTTTCTCCCCCAGAAGTGCCCATGTGCCCAAGTACAGTGTCAGACTAGGCACGCTATTCCAAATAACACCCTTTACAACTAGAAACATCACCATGCCTGACGTGAAGAGTGGTACGTAGTTCTATACCTGCACTGACTACACCTGTGGGTGCATTGTGTTCCCCTTCTGCTTTTTAGATAGCAGCACTATTGACTAGCACTAACTCCCAGTCAGCTGCTTTTATATTTCGGCCTTTCTTCCTGATGTTTTTGTGCGTTTCTCTATTTCATACATGTTTTCTGTCATGTTTTGGCTCCTTTTGCCACAGTATCTTTTCTCGAGTTTAATTAGCGTGCTGTTTGCTTTCTCTTTCGGAACTCTTAATGCATTAGATTTTTTCAGGACTAGTCGTGCAATGTCGTTGCCATCCACCAGATGTCTCCCACGCAAGCAAATGCATCATCCTTTTTCAGCGCTCCTTTGTGAAAGGCTTTGGAAGGGAGATGCTGCTCTGCTCAGTGTTACTTGTTTCTGTGTGGAATCATACAATGTTTCATGCTGAAATGGCTCCACAAGAATAATTGAGTCCAGCTCCTGGCTCCACACGTGACCATCCCAAATCCAAACCTTGTGTCTGAGAGCAGTGTCCAAACACTCCCTGAACTCCAGCACTTGGGGCTGTGCCCACTGCCATGGGCAGCCTTTGCCATGCTCACTGCCCTAAATTCTAAGTTGAAGGTTCTGTCCTGCAGTTGCATACATGTAAAGTCTTGTGGTTTAAAAACAGGTTGTTAGTTCCACGTTTTGGAAAGGTTGACATTACATTGATAATTAGTAATTGGAGAGAGAGATGGAGGAGGTGGTGCTCCTAATCCAGCAAGGGACCTTCTGCTTCATGGAGCTGGTGGCCCTGATGACACCTTGAGTATGATTCAGCTCTAGTGGTAGCTGTACGACTGACAGGATCACTGCATTGCTCGATCCCTTTTATTCTTGAATGTAGGATGGGTTAAAAAAAAAAATAAATGAAGTCTTTGATTTACAAAAAGGAAAAAAAGGCTATCCAAAAGCAGTACTTCCTGACCTCTGGCTGTCCAGCTGCATGAGGTAAAGTTGCAGAAATAAAGCACTTTTGGTTGGCATGTGTGTGCTCCGGCCAGGCTGGTAGCAGGATACAGCGGCACCCTGCGGGTGGGCTTAATGAAGTCCTGCTTCTTTTCAAGCAGTGTCTTTTTCGTGTGTAACTGCTGTCTTTATGCCTCACCCTTGCAGCATGGTGAGCACCGGTCTGTCCGTGTACCGCGATAAAACCACCATCAGTAATTTTGCTTCAGCAGGAGGTAAGACTGGGTAATTTTTATCTGTGTACTTTTTTACTTTTTCAGTGTCAGTAAGCAGAGGACATAAATAGAAAATCATAAGCCAAAATCCATATCTCCCGAATATGAGCAGACCCATAGCATCGTTGCACCCGGGTTTTGCAGCCTGCTACGCTGGCTGTCTTTGGAACTTTGCCCCATGGTATAGTTGTTGTCTGCCTTTATTTGTAACACATAATCAATGCATTATCTGAAACCAATGGGGAATTTTGTGGTTATTAGTCCGTTCTCAAAATACTTGTTGGAGTTTTTGTGTGAAAATTGCTTGTGTGGCATAAATGCAACATTTAGTGCATGACCAGCCCTCATAACCACCTCCTCGGCAGAGGATCATCTCTTATTTCTGCTCATCACAACAGTTCAGTGTTTATAAATGTTTATAAAGTACTGTTTTTGTGGCAAGTTTTGCACATCCACTTTTGGCAATAGAGCTCCTGGTAAATATGGTCATTGGGTTTTAGAGGATTTGTTGCCCATACAGCTGTGTATGTGCTTTACTGTTCTTTTCTGCCTTACATGGCAGCAGCTATAATTAGCTGCAGTTGAATAGAAGGGAAAAAAAAAGAGGGGGGACAAGGGGGGAGAAAGGGTGATGGAGCCTGGAGTGTGCTGCCCAGAGACACTGTGGAGTGTCCTTCTCTGGAGATATTCGGGACTGTCTGGACACTTTCCTGTGTGACCTGTTGTAGGGAACTGCTGTAGCAGGAGGCTGGACTGGATGATCTCCAGAGGTCCCTTCCAACCCCTATGGTTCTGTGATTCTGTGATCGTGCTCCAGTCTGGAGAGAACTGAGTTCCACTTTCATAGTTACTTTTGCATTTTAACTTTTCTTAGGGAGTTGTTCTCAAGAAGAATGAGCTTTGTGCTATGTTTTAGTGCAGAGGGCGTGTGGACGAAAGCAGGGGAAAGCGTTGTCACAATAAGTCAGGCTGCTGCGACTGCATGGTGGGAGCTGCTGGCCACAGCGTTTGGTTTCTGCTCTGTTAAAAACAAAAGTCAGCTAACAGAGAGGAGAAACTGAGCAGAGCAGCTCCCTTGGCAGGCCTGCAATGGCTGGTGAAGGGCTGATCGTGGTTTCAGCCAGTTTGTGTTTTTCAGCCTTCACAGGAGCTCTCTTCAGAATGCACTTGGGCCTGTCTGGGCTGGCAGGCG